CCCGGAGTGTCCCAAGATCGCTGGTGAGATGAAGTACGACCCGAATCCTGGTGGCACTGACAAAGCAAAATGGTTTCTCCGAGTTCGTGTGACAGACGGCGGTCTCTTGGAAAGATTCGGAACATTTGTTATAGCTTCGATGTGGTTGCCTGATCTGCTGTGTGTTGTGTCACATTACATGAACCCATGTGTGTCTGGCATTGAAGGCGAGTGGAGCCACCTCGTACCCTATCACTGGGGACGTGTGGCTTCCAAGATGACAGAAGCGCAGGCCAGACAACACGTCATTGACCATAGGCCCTGTTGTGGCCCGACCAGGAGGCCTGGCAACAACTAGAGGATTCATCCTGCGCTGCAAAGAAAAGTTGTGTGTCTGTCTGTGTGCTTGCATTGATGGCAGCGGGTCCTGCTAGATTGGAATGCGTCCGAGAGACTGTGTGTTTCTGCTTGGGGAAGACGGATTGCGAAAGCATGTTCGCATTTTCACACATGTGGAATTTGTCACGTGCAAGCACATGGACAATCATTTCGAGTGCCACAACCCGGAAGCCGCACAAACTAGCACATGTGGTTTGAAGCCGTGCGTGCTTGTGACTGAACAGTAGCCGTCCAGAGCAATGCATTTCGCCCCGATCGAACGAGGAGAGTGTTTCTTCAGAGGCGAGCTCTCCCCAATCTTGATCAAAACCGCTTGCGAAAAATTGGCCAAAGCGCCTGTCCAGTGGAGACCAGCTGAGAGATGGAAGGAAGTTTATGACGACGTGCCTTGGGAAATCATGGTTCGCTACCTGCGTTACTGGCCACGTATTGGCTCCCGCATTACAGGAGGCCTCAGGCTTCTTCGACGGTACGAAGGCCCCTTCCCGAAGTGTTATCAGGTGGGTGAAGGAGAAGAACCGCTGGAGTTGCCGCGCGTTTCTCTCGTTTGTGATTTTGTTTATGTTTGGAACGACGAAGATGAACAACAACGGCAGTTTGTCCTTCAGATGAAACACCTCTCACTTGTTGCCATCCGTCTCGGTGGTCCGGGGGAACTTCCTGACCTTGATGCTGGAGCAATACCTTTGACCGACCAGCTGAGTGCAAAGTTGGGGTGGCAATAATTAATGGATCTTGAGGCGGGAAGGCAGAGTGCCAGCAGCTGGGAAGGCAGAGTGCCAGACGTTGTCGCGTCACCCAGCTGTACCCTGCTTCGCCTGCACGTGATTCGCTTGACCGTGTGGTCAACGCAGAAAAGCGCAACATCCAGCAGTTCGTAGCCACTTCACGTGATTTGTGCATCCCTAATACTATCAAACCCTAAAACTATGGCACTCTGCCTTCTAGCTCCAAACCCTAAATACTAAAGACCCTGAAACTCTAACCCTAACCCTTTCATTACCCTCAAACCCTAACACTATGGCACTCTGCCTTCTAACCCCAAACCCTAAATATACTAAAGACCTTGAAACTCTAACCCTAACCCTTTCATTACCCTCAAACCCCTAATACTATGGCACTCTGCCTTCTAACCCCAAACCCTAAATATACTAAAGACCCTGAAACTCTAACCCTAACCCTTTCATTACCCTCAACCCCTAACACTATGGCACTCTGCCTGCTAACCCCAAACCCTAAATACTAAAGACCCTGAAACTCTAACCCTAACCCTTTCATTACCCTCAAACCCCTAATACTATGGCACTCTGCCTTCTAACCCCAAACCCTAAATATACTAAAGACCTTGAAAAAAAAAAACCTCTAACCCTAACCCTTTTTCATTACCCTCACCCCTAATACTATGGCACTCTGCCTTCTAACCCCAAACCCTAAATACTAAAGACCCTGAAACTCTAACCCTAACCCTTTCATTACCCTCAAACCCTAACACTATGGCACTCTGCCTTCTAACCCCAAACCCTAAATATAATAAAGACCCTGAAACTCTAACCCTAACCCTTTCATTACCCTCAAACCCCTAATACTATGGAACTCTGAAACCCTTCTAACTACCCACCCTTTCATTACCCTCAAACCTATAATAAAGACCTATGAAACTCTAACCCTAACCCTTTCATTACCCTCAAACCCCTATACTATGGCACTCTGCCTCTAACCCCAAACCCTAAATATAATAAAGACCCTGAAACTCTAACCCTAACCCTTTCATTACCCTCAAACCCCTAATACTATGGCACTCTGCCTTCCAACCCCAAACCCTAAAGACCCTGAAACTGTAAACCCTGTGCCAGGTCTTCTTCATCCTCGTCTTCTCGGAAAAAACATTAAAAAATGTATTTTTTTGTGTGTTTTAAAGTTTTTAAAAAATTTTAAAAGTTGTTTAAAGTCTTTAAAAGTCTTTCAAATTCTTTTTAAAGTTTGTAAAAGCTTTTAAAAGCGTTTAAAAGTCTTTTAAAGTCTTTTTAAAGCTTTTAAATGTATTTTAATGTTTTTAAAAGTCTTTTAAATATTTTAAAAGCCTTTTAAAGCTTTTAAATGTATTTTAATGTTTTTAAAAGTCTTTTAAATATTTTAAAAGCCTTTTAAAGTTTTGAAAAGTCTTTTAAAGTTTGCAAAAGTCTTCTAAAAGTTTCTAAAAGTCTTTTAAAGTCTTCTAAAAGTTTTTAGAATGTTTTTTCTTGCATTTGAAAGTTTTTAAAAGTCTGTAAACGTCTTTAGAAGCCAACTCTGTCGAAAAAGCCCTGTGGATCTAAACCTTGTGGTTCTGGTTCGGTGCAAAAGGGCAATGATGTTCTCAACTCAAGTGCTGTGGCAACTCAACACTGCTACAGCAACTCAGCTGCTGTGACCCTGCACTGATGCCCTCATGCCCTCACCAACCAGGAGCCCTTGTGCCATCTCTCGTGCCTTCGTGCCCTGGAGTTTCGATCCTGGCTCTGAAAAAAAGCAGAAGCTTCAAAGAAGGCACACACAAAGAAAGAACAACCTTTGACAAACCAGTTCCGAATTGGTTTTGCAGCAGTTTGAGCCAGGCATTTTAGTGTTCCGGATATTCCGATTCCGGGCTGGGGAGCGGCAGAATCTGACCCTGCTGGGGTTCGAACTTGGCGCCCTGCCACAAGGGTTTCTGAGGCCATCTTCTTGCCCATTAGGCTGTTCCCACAATTGCAAAAACTCCAACTCCTACAGAAATTTCCCTTCGCAGGACCCTCCACATTTGTTCCAACATGGCACTGGGCAAGTGCAGAAAGCAGCACGACCCACCCGCCACATCAAAGAAGTGACGGGAAATTAGTCGCTGGCTGGATTGTAGCACATGCTCGCTGTGTAGTGGCTGATACTGCAGTGGATTGTGGACAGACCTGGTATCACGGCAAATGGTTTGGGTGCGGGGTAGGGCTTAGGGGCCTACTTGCCCTGAACTCCCTGAAAACCCTCATGCTCACAAGTTTGATCTGCTCCTCCACGGTGTCCCCGCACTGGTTGTGTGCCTGGCTGTTCTCCGCCTGAAACTTGCTCCTCATGCGCTCTGCCGCGACCAGCCGGCCAGCAGCTTCTGCTGCTTGCTGGGTTGCGACTCTTTCTCTGCTGTCGCCTTGGCTTTTGCAGCAGTCTGCCACGTGGAAATTGCTGGCGAGAGATCCATTCGCCAATGCAGATTAGTAAATCATTCACTCACCGGTGTGGCACGACCCAGCCTTTGTGCGAGAAGTGTGTTGTGTGTTGTGTTGTGGCCAGCCATCGGATATCTGCTGCTAGTTCGCGGATGCCCTGGTGGGCTGGCAGGGATGTGCCACTGCCACTAGTTTGCCACCAAAGTGCCGCAGCAGTTATGTTATACTACAATCCAGCACAATTCAGCCAAGCGTCGGAAACGAAGTACTTCCAGTACTTATATTGCATTGCACATCTACTGGCTGATGTATCCTGGCTGAAGCTGTGGCTGAGAATGGCTGATGCTGGCCGATCCTGGCTGACATTGGCTGATGCTGGATGGTATTGGCTGAACCTGGCTCCTTTTGACTGATACTGGTGGAAACTGGGTGATAGTGGCTGAACCTGATACTTGCTGAGCTGGATGATGTTGTTTGATACTATAACACTTCCACAACACCTCCACAACACCGGATGTCCATCCACTCTCCACGCAGGGTCCCCAAAGAGCCCAGAGCTTTTGGTCACCCCAAAATCTCGATTCCGGGTGGGGAAAGGGCCAAATGACACCTCTGGGGATTGAACCATGGGCTTGTTCCACCGAGCTTATGAGATGTGCCTGCTTACCCGTTAGGCTGCAGCTGGATGCTGATCAGGAAAGGCCGCCACTTATTTTGCATTCCGGAGAGGCTCGCAGGTGTCATTTTGAGCCTTTCCCCATCCAGAATCGAACTAACCCAAATCCGCCAAGTCCCAAACCCACCCATTCCCACTTGCCCATGCCCCTTTGCCCAAATGCTACTGGAGCTGGTGCACTCCTGCTCCTGCTTGCTGCCGCTACTGCTACTTCTTCCTCCTGCGACTTCTGCTACTACTCCTACTACCACCACTACTGCTACTGCTACTACTACCGCCGCCACTACGACTGCTACTACTACTACTACTACTACTACGACTACTTCTGCTACTACTATGGAGGTGGCCAGCAATGTCGCGCGACAAGGGTTTGAAACAAGCCGGCGCGACAAGGGTTTGAAACAGAGGGGGGGGGGGCCCGCGACAACACGGGGTTTTGACCCACGGCCATTTTGGATGTCAGAAAAGGCGCTGGAGAAACATGAATGTGCAGTACGTTCAAGTGTTGTTGCGGCAAATGATTCCACAGCGGGCGGCAGGTTTGGAGCTATTGTCCTGTGATCGAAATTCACTTCGGGTTATGCCCGGGTGGCTTAGGGTATCTTGGGCAATCCGTCAGGGTACGTCGGCTGCCTTGCGGTCCCGGCTGTATCGCGGCCGGTGATGTCGAGTGTGAGTTGCTTCTTATGATCGTTTGGCTGGCCGGCTCCGGCACCAGATTTCATGCAAGTTAGTAGCGAGCTTCTTTTGATTGCCATTGTGCTAGGGCGATGACGGATGGCGAACCAGAAGCTTTGCCTGCGCCGCTGAACGAAGCTTTGGTGGCCTTGGCAGATCAGTGCAAAGTCCCGCCAGATTATCATGGGATTCTCGCGGGGTTTGATGTCAGCCTTTTCGGCTGCATTGCGGCTGATTCCTCAGCTTTGGATGAGGCGCTCAAGGATCTGCTCGAGGGCGCCGTGGAACCGCCTTCCACTGCTCAGCGCCTTCTTCTGCTCTCTTCGCTACGACTGCTTTACGAGACTTGCCGTCAGCAGTCGTCAGCAGCTCGTCAGGGCAAGCGCCAAGAGGAGAACGACATCACTTCGGGGTTGTCTACATCAAGCTGGTCAGAACAGTTTCCCCCCAAGCTTTCAGGAGAGCGTGTGATGTCTCTTCAGAAACAGTTTCATGCCCGCTACCCGGGGGAGATCTTAGATCCCGACAATTATCCGTCGGCCAGGTTGCTAGCCTATGTGGCTAAGGTCGTTCAAAAAGGAGAGCTGCGGTGGATCCCGTGGAAACTCAGGATGAGCCAAGCCCAACAAGATTCCCTGGCTTTGCGGCGCCCAGCTAAGGTGCCTCGGTTAGAAGAGCTGATATACGACGACGTGCCCCAGCGTGAAATACCAGCTGGAGCAGTTGGCGCGAACTATCTCTCGGGCATCTTGGGTTTGGTTTCAGTGGCTGTAGCGATGCTGCAGGGCGCGCACCTTGCGAGCCTTCGCGAGTTTGAGCGCAAGTTCATCAAACTGGCTACGCAAAAATGCGAGGCGGGCATTCGCAATCCTTTTGCTGAGGAAATCATGCAAGCAGACCGTCAGCTATGGTGCCAGATGGCCGATCTGGTCAATCTTCATGGCTGGTCCTTGGATGATGCTCTGACAGAGTACACGGAGATCAGGGGAGATATGGCTTCGTTACTTCAGTCTCGGGTGGCGGTGCCCAAAAAGTTTGATATCCCACCTGGTCTTCGAAGGCTTCCTGGGGGCAAAGGCAAGCAGAAGGGCGGCGGCAAAGGTCGAGGTGTTACTGGCGGTCAGTCTGGTCAAACTGGTGCAAAATGGATCACGAAGTTTGAGGACAAGGGTAAGACTCGCTTCCTGTGTCGGGACTATTCTTCGGCTAAGGGCTGTTCCTTCACGGATTGCAAATTCGAGCATTTGTGTCCGGTACCGCGCCCTGACGGCAGACCTTGCTTGGGCAAGCACCCGGCGCATCAGCATAAGGCGATGCCTCACTGACTCTCGGATGATTCCTCGGACGTCAGGACAGGCAGATCCGATGCCGCGGAGCTGGGGCATTGCAGCTCTCAGCAAGATTTGGATTGGGAGACATGTCTATCCGTTTTGCAACAGCACTGTCCAGGATCAACTCAGTTGCTTCGGACAAAAGTTCTGGAGGGTGGCCGGAACCATGCTAGCTACTTCAACGCCGGGGTACGCTCAGGCTCTCTTGGCGGCCTTTGTCGCTTCACCTTGGAAAACCCCAAGTTGGTGGAGTATGTAAATCTTTTCTTACAGTCAGTCTTCCCTGATGGGACATGGTCTAGTTTCTGCATTTCGCACAACGAATTCGCTCATCTTCATTCGGATTTCAATGCCCCAGGCTCTTTGAATCACTCTTGCAGCTTGGGGGCGTTCGACAAAGGTGGTCTCTGGATCCAGGTTGCGGATTCAGCATTTCCAGAGCATCCTCGGGTCCCTCCCACGGACGCTCAGGCTGATCAAACATTGCGCGGTTGCATTTTCAACACTCGAAGGTCCGGGATCTCTTTCGACGGCTCTCTACCACATTGTTCGGAGCCTTGGACTGGGGACCGGTGGGTCCTGACAGCATATACTTCGGCCCAACTGCCGAGAGTATCGGCTAGTGATGTGCAGCAGCTGCGGGATTTACACTTTCCACTGCCAGATTCTTCTTGTCAAACGGCTGCTTCAGAATTGTCTGGGGCAGCAATTCTTCCGGCTCCACCTTCCGTTCTTGATCTTTCCAAGGTGCGCGGGAATCTTTTTCTGGATCTGTTTGCTGGTCATGCTCGGCCACTATCGTCTGCTTTCTTGCAAGCTGGAGTTTCTGTCCTTTCAGTGGATACAATGTTGGCTTCGGAGCACGATCTTCTGGATGATTCGGTTTTTGAACCTCTTTTGCGATTGAGCTTTTCGGGAGCAGTGACCTCGGCTCATGCATCGCCACCATGCCGGGAGTATTCCAGGTGCAAGCTTATCCGACCGGGTCCGAAGCCTTTGCGCACCCCAGAACATTTGGCAGGGGTCCCAGGTCTATCTTCTTCTGAACAAGAGCGGGTGGACGCCAGCCGGACGTTGATGGAGCGTGCCGTCGAGATTCTGCACGCCACCTACAAGGCTGGCGGGCATTTTAGCCTGGAAAATCCAGCAAACAGCATGCTTTGGCTAGAAGAAGCGGTCCGACTTCTGCTTCAGAAGGCCAATGCTGATGTGCTTGTGGTAGCGGCTTGTGCTTACGGCTGGGATATCTCGAAACGCTGGGCTTTCGCTACCTCTTTTCGGGATATGCAGCGATTGGCCAAGGATTGTTCACATGCTGAGGGCTCTCATCGTCCGGTTGCTGGGGTTCGGGATGAGTCCGGAGGTTATGCCTCTCAACAGACTTCTGAGTTCCCCGCGAAGCTCGCGGAGGCGTATGTATCGGCCGCTCTCCCACTTTTTTCGACATGCGAAAATCCTTTGGATGTCCAGCTGTCGCAGCTATATCAGCTAATCCCTGCTAAAGGTCGCTTCGACATGCCTTTCGCGCATCAAGATGGGGCTGGCATCTACTCGGTCCCCGACTGGTCTTTTCCCCCGAACGGGACGGTTGACAGACTTCAGCAGGTCAGGCATGCTCTGACGCAGAAGCTTTTTGAGTTGAAGGCCCCGATTCGCTTGCGCGAACATGTCCTGGCCAAGTCGGACTCTCCATTGTTTTCGGAGGGAGAGATTGAAAGCTTTCGGGCCATCTTTTCAGAGTTCTTGGTGGCCACGACGGGCCGTCCGGTGGACTGGTCCGTTCAACCTTTTCAGCCGTACACTCTCAATGCACTTCAGCAACTGTCAGAGGCCTTGGAAGATCCCGACGACACTCTTTTCGCTTGCCTCCAATCGGGCGCTCCTACTGGTTACTTCAAGGACATCCCAAGAAGCGGGGTTTTTGTTCCTGCGCCGGAGGCGTCTACTTCGGAGGAGCAACCCTTGCTGGAGTGCCAAGATAATTGGAAAGGAGCTCGCGAGAATCCAGAAACTCTGGAATCCTTGATACAAGAAGAACTGGATAACGGCTACTTGGAGGAGGTCACTCTTGAGGAGGCCCGCTCCAGGTGGCCAGAGGTTGCCGTTGGGAAACTCAACGTTGTGATCGTGCCGGACAAAAACCCTCGCTTGACGGTGGATGAAACAATTTCTGGCGTGAACCCTGCTTGCCACATTCCGGAACGTTACAACTTGCCGGGCCTGGGCGACTTGCAATCCAGCTATCCTCTTCGAGGGCAGGTATCCGAGCTTCGCTCTTTCAGTTTAGATATTAAGGCGGCGCACAAGTCCATTCTCATGCAGGAGAGGGATCGTGGTTTATCTGGAATCACCTGCAACGGCAAGACCTATTTCTATCGGGTCATGCCTTTCGGCATGAGCTGCTCAGCTTACTGGTGGCAGCGTCTTTCCGGCTTCTTTATGCGAACATGGCATCTTCTGGTGTTCTTGGCTCACTTCATGTCCATGTACGTGGACGATTTGATATTAGCCATGGCCTCTGGTGCCTTGGACATCTCAGCTTGTCTGCTTCTCGCCTTTGCAGCAGCTTTCGGTATCAGGTTGTCGTGGCCTAAATTACAACTAGGTTCGGACTGTCTTTGGATAGGCTGGCAGTTATCTTATCGGGCTGGGACTGTTCGGGTTCCGCAGTCTAAAAGGGAGAAATTGCGCGGCCTGCTGAATCCCCTGCTGGTTGCGGGCCGTGTGGAGCTGAAGCTGATCCAACAAGCTCTGGGCCTTCTTCAATGGATCACGCAACTTCACAAGGAACTGCGTCCTTGGCTTTCTTCTTTGTATGATGACATTTCGAGGCCGCCGGGGACGTCTTTTTCCATTGAGCCATCTCGGTGGAGTTCATTGGCTCCTTGCTTGTCAGAGGCGATGGTTTTCATCTCCACTCCAGCAGGCACGGCTATCCCAGTGGGTTCTAAGCTGCTGAGTGCTCGGCACATCGAACTGTGGAAGAAATCGGATTTGGCCAAAGTTCCGCTTACCTCCAAGCGGGTATGGATGAGGATTGCAGATCCTCAATCTCGCTTTCGGCGCTTATCTGTGCTGAGCAGGCGCCTTTTGCAATTCTGGTTTGATTGGTGCGGCTCACATCAGTTTCACGAATGTTTGATGCTTCCTCAGCGCTCTCTTGATGCTACCATGGCTGCTGACGCTTGTGCTCAGGGTACTTCGATCGGCATTGGCGGCTTCATCACGTTGCCGGGCTCGGATTCCTTGTGGTTCTCCGAGCGTTACGATCTGGCCGACTTCAAGTACTTGGAACTTCCGCTACATTCTGAATCGCAGAAAGACATCTCATGCTGGGAAACATTGGCTCAAGTGGGCCTTATGCTTCTCTTTGGGCACCTGTGCCCAGGCGGGCGTATGAGAGTTTGCGTTCCATCTTTCTGCGACAATTCTGGTGCGGAGTCTATCTGTGCGAAGCTTCTGACGACGAAGTCGCCTCTTTGTTTCTTTACCCAACCGGTGGCGATGATCAGCACTCGCATGGGGATCAGTCTGGATGTGCAACACATCGCGGGTGAGCGTAACATTGACGCTGATTTCCTGTCCAGGTGGGATGGTGCCGGCCCTTTGCTTGCACCATGGAATCCCGACTTCAGATACCGCTTCACAGTCGCTGATTTCTTCGATCTACGTCATGATGTACGGCTTTTCCCAGCCGATGCCAAGCTGCTTTGGAAGCTGCCGCGTTGAGCTCTGATCAGAGCGCCTGAACGATTTCTGAAATCTGAATGCTTGCACCCTCTTTTCCATAGGTGTTCGTCTCACTTAATTGTGGGGCGTGCATGGCGATTCCTCCACCTATGTTTCTGTGCTGTGGCAGTCGCTGTTTGGGCCTTGATTAAACCGAGATTCCAAATGCTTTCAGATCTTACATCTGCGATTTCCGCCACTGCACAAAACATAGGGCGAGTGGAGCGAGTTCGGTATGTGATAGATTTTCGTCCCGGAGCGGAGCGTAGGGATAAATCTTTATTTCCTTTGAACAATCAACGGTTTTTCTCTGAAAACCGAGTGCACCAGTTTTCCAACTTTGTTTCCTTTGAGTCTTGCGAATACCTTGTCGTATCCGCATTTCTTCTCAAGGGAAGGGTGGGAGGGAAGTCCATTTCCTTCGGCATGAAGTGAATCAACTTTGTGCTGGGGGGGTGGCGTAGTGCGTGCCGGTGGGTAGTTCTTAGGGGAGGGAACACCCGTCCTGTGACGGGTGCCATGGATCAGCCTGGCTCTCTTGAGGACTTAGAAACTGCCGGTAGTGCCTTCAGGCTTCTGTCAGAGGCCCCAGACGCGAGTGTAGAGCAGACTCTGCAAGACGATCTTGTCTCCTGGAACCCGAATCCTGACTTCTCAAGCGACAGGGAGTGCATCAGCTCACATCGGGAGCCATCCGAGCTTGCAGTTGAGTCAGAGCCTGCTGATGCCTTCTTTGAAGGTGGTATTGGCTTGAGTTCTGAATCTGTGCCCGGGCTTCCTGCAGTACTCAGTGGCATCGAGCATAACCCGCAAGGTTATAGGAACCTTTTGCGCTCGTCGCACCTTGGCCTTCGTGACGAGCTTCCGAAGTTTCCTTGGGATGAAGGTTTTTGGAGCGACTTCTTCAAGCCTGTTGTGACGACTGACGACTTCTTGTCTTTTCCCAGGTTTGATAGGTTAAGCCCTCCGGTGGAGTTCCTGCAAGAGGCTTTAGAGGCAGATGAGCTGCCTGGGCCCAAACGTGCTCGCAAAGCTGTTACAGTCACCTTCGAGCGAGTTGTGTTAAATCGTGCTGTGATCTCCTGGAGAGATCAGCGAGAAGCCGACTTGAGCAGAGCGCTTATCAAGTGGTGTAGAGTTTTTGCAAGCTGGGACAGTGAATCTTCCCCTGTCACCCGTCAGCTTCAGGAAGCCGCCTCGCCTGAGGCCTGTCATGACCTCCTGGGAGATTATTTGGCCCGCAAAGCTCCCAGTACATGTCTCAAGCGCGCAAATAGCATGTTGATGTTGGGCAAGTCTGTAGCTTCCGAAGGCTTAACAATGCCCATGCAGGAGCCGTCTCTTTACTCGATTTTGAGAGATTGTAAAGCCGGTGGTGCATCCTTGTCAGCTTTGCGAGGCATCATGGAAGCGATCACTTTCGTGCACTTTACATTTGACATTTCGACTTTGCATGCCAGTGTCAAGAGCAAGAGATGTTGGGGCCTGTCCTCAGCCAAGCAAGCCACTCTTGCCTCTAAGGCAGACCCTTTCACAGTTGAAGAAATACTTGAGATGCATCGAATACTTTACGAAGGGGACGATCTCTGGGATCGTCTCATGTGTGGAGTGTCCCTCTACTGCATCTACGCCAGGTGTCGATGGAGCGATTTCCAACATGTTGACTCGCTCTCTCTGGAGTGCAACGACCAGGGCTTTGCAGAGTTCGGCTCAGCTTTCATCGATGTGCATAAGACAATGAATTTCTCCTCAAAACTTCCGAAGTGTCTTGAGCTAGTTGCGGTAGGCCGTGGCCTCGATGGCAAAGATTGGCTCTGTGTGTTCATGGAGGTCCGAAAGGCTTTAGGCGTCGAGTACCACAAAGGGTACCCAAGCATGCCCGCCCCCGACAAATCTGGCGCCCCGACGGTCAGGGCTTTGGGATCTGACGAAGCAGGTGCGTGGCTCCGAGAGCTATTGCCTGGGCGTGAAGGCCGGCGCACCACCTCCCACAGCTTGAAAGCCACTCTGTTGTCTTTTGCAGCTAAGAGAGGGTTAGCTCACACTGACCGGCTGGCCTTAGGCGGGCACTTCCATGGGGCTCACATGGCTGATGTATATGCGCGGGATGCCTTAGCACGCCCATTGCGACTTCTGGCGGGCATGCTGTCTGAGATCAGGCTAGGAAAGTTTGCACCAGATGCTGGCAGGGCTGCTCGTTTTCCTGGGCGCACCAATGAGGAATTGATAGGGGCCGAGCTGCCCACAGGTGTCGCCCATGCCGCTCCCACGGAACCTCAGCCGCTAGATGAAGTCCACCTTGGCAGCAGCAATCGCGACAGCAGCGCTAGGGGTCTTGAAAGCTTCTCTCAGTGGGATCTTGTCTCCTTGGGGGCACCGTCACATGCATCGAAGGCCGTGAAGTCGGATGCGTGCACTTCCCAGGCGGGAGGCGAAGTCATGAGTGTGAAATCGGACAGAACAGAACCTCCGAGTCCCGATTTTTCTGAGGGTGTTGGCGACCTGAGCCTCATGCCTGATCGAGCGCCGCAGGGATCTTTTGAGATAGTTCCGGAAGACATCTCCGAAGTCAATCCCGATGACGGTGTCTCCTCTGACGGAGACACGTCGTCGGAAGGCTCCTCATCCGAGTCGTCTGATTCTTCTGAGGGAGAAAATCCGGAGCCCAGGCTGATGCCCCCGCCTTCGCCTCCTGAAGGTACCTTCTTCATGCAGCATCGCAAGCTCAAAACTCTGCATTTGTTGTTGACCGGGCACCGCAGCTTCACGCTGTGCGGAAGACCGTTGCAAACTATCGACAGCCCCTTCATTGAGCCTGGCCGGCTGAGGTACGATACCCCAGTGTGCAAGCAGTGCAAGAGATCTCTAGCTAACCCTGGGCGCGACTGAGTTTTTGCTGAGGGAGAGGAAAGAGAGAGTGTGTGCGTGTCATGGTAGAGGGTTTCATGTCGGGTCGTGAGCCAAAATCATCAGGACAGGCAGCTGCCCCTCGATGTGCCGCAACTCGTCCCTTCTGCTCGCTTCTTCCCTCTCTCTCTCCTCCCTCTCTCTCTGGTCTTGATCCTTCTCTCTCAACATGTGAGTTTGCTTGATGGATCACACGCTGAGAGTCGGGTGCAGCAGCTTTGTCTCAATTCATTAGGACGGACAAGCCCATAGTGCTGAGAGTTGCCATGACCCTCGTTGACAGCGAGGCTGCTTTTGCAGCTAGGTGTAAGGAGATATGTGGCGACGATTCTCTTCACACATTGCTGCAAGCCTCGGGGGTGCAAACTCACTCAGCCTTGGCCTTCAGCTGTGGAACTCCGAAGGCGCAACCCACGGAAGCAGAATTTAAGGCTTTTGCTGAGTCAGTTGTCGGGAGCCCAGCGTCCATAGGCCGCGTGAGCCAGCTCAAAAGACTTCATTTCGAATCCTCGACTTTGGTCATTGCCCAGTTGCGTGCACTCGTAGAAGGGGATTCAACAGATGCTGGAAAAAGACTTCCGGCAGCAGAGAAATCCGCCCGACTTGCGGATGCCAAGAGGCGTTTGAAAGGCCTTGTCATCGAGGATGAGATGGAGCCGAGTCATGCCCTCATTGATGCAGTTTCCCATATGGGCGAGTCGAATGCGGTGGTTTGGATCCCACCGTCGAAGTGCACTAAGAGGGATGCCGAACTCAAGCTAGGGCTTCGCGACAAGCAAAAGTACTTGACTGTTCAGGAGCAATCAGTCACCTTGGCCCCGGCTCCAGATAAAATCGTCGCTGAGCATGGGACTCCCTTGGAGGTCCAATGGTGTCTCCAGCGCCGAGGCTTGGCTTTCTTCATGTGCGGCTTCATGGAGTGGGAGACTCACGAGAAGTGGGTCGCGTCTCTGCTTAGATGTTTGTCATCGGATGTTCCTCCGGGGTACGCACCCATTTCGATGCAGCAAATTTTGCGAGCAGATTCCGAAATCTTCTTGCTTTTAGCCCGTGAGGTCAAGCGGGTCAAACCTGACAGCAGTGGTGTGATGGAGATGGATGTTCTTATGAATCGGTTCCGTCATGACCCTCGGATCACCACTTATCTCCAGCCACTTCAGCGTGGATCGGCCTCTCAGGGAGTCGCTTCGCCGAGTCTCGCAGGCGAGGTCGGATCATCCCTTCCTGATCTGAGGCCTAGCAAACGCCAAAAGAAGAGAGACGCTAAGCTCAAGGCCCCTATCAAAACTGCAAATCTGCCTGAGGAGTTGAAGTCGTGCCCGTACCATGCTGATTCTTCAGGCAACCGGTTCTGTTGGCAGTTCAATCTCGGTAAGTGCAATGCCGAGTGCAAGGGCAGTCCGCCTGCTTGCAGCCGTGGTGTTCACGGTTGCATGACGTGCAGGCGCTTAGGCCATGGGCATTCTTCTTGCTGGTTCGCCCAAGCAGGCAAAGGCAAAGGCAAGAAAGGCAAGGGAAAGGGCGACAAGAGTGATTCGTCTTCCCCTAAGGAGTGACTAGCTCCTATCAGTGTTGCACCCTCTTCTGAGGGGCCCAGGCTGCGATCTCGCAGCCCCAATCCTGCATGTGAAGTCCGTGTGTCAGGGCAGCACCCCAAGTCTGTCGGCCAAGATGAGGCCGAAAGTGTCACCAAACCTTTCACAAATGTTCACGATGATTCCGAATGTGACTCTGTGCTTTCTCCTGAAGCTGATGTCAACGCGGCATGTTCCGCGTTCAATTTCAGCTTCGCTGCGTTCATGGGGAGCACATCCAGTATTCCAGGTGACCCTTGTGAGTCACTTGCTTCGAAAATTCTTGAGCATGGCAACTGCTCATCTGAGCAACTGCTTGAACTCTCGAACATGCTACCAAGCGAGACTCCAACTCGAAGTGATGGAGCCGCCCCGTCAGGACGTGCCTTCACGACTGGAGCATACTACCACTGTGGCACTGTAGGTGTCAGGCATAATGCGCGAGCTTACCCACTGGCCTCGCGTCTCCTTGCCACTCTCGCCGCCAGTGTATTCCCGAATTTTCATTTCACAAGTGTCGGCCTTTTCAAAAATGTAAAAACTCGCAGGCACCGTGACCTCAGGAATCTTCCTGGGTCTTTGAATGGCGTTGCACCTCTTCGCCCATTCTGCGGTGGTGCAGTGAGGCTGCATCACCCTAGTGGCCCTGAGGATTTGCTGGTCTCAGCAGGGCCCGTCACGTTTGATGCGACGGTAGAGCACGAAACTTTAGACTGGACCAACGGTCCCCGTCTTGTACTTGTGGCTTTCAGTGTGTATGGAATTTCCAAAATTCCAGTTTCAGATGCGAGCTGTTTGAGGTCCCTGGGTTTTGCGCTCCCAGGTGTTACCGATGCACCTGCCTCGGTTCCTGCACTCAGCCATACAACCACAGCTGCTTCTGATACCGTCTCTGGAGTCATTATAGATGTATTCGCTGGCGATGCCGCCTTTTGCAAAGCCGCGCACAAAGCCGGCTTTAGAGCCCTAGCCTTCGACCTTAAGCCCCAGCGTGCCCAATTCCCAATTCAACCTCTCGACATAACGCAGGCCGATGAGCTTGCGGTGCTCCTGGAGGTGATTTCCGAGCACGCAGGTGCTACGTCATTGGTGCAGTTCACTGTCCCGTGCTTGAGTACCTTCTTCACGTCAAAGACTGGATCATGGAGTTTCGCTGAGTTGCTGGTGGATGCTGTCTTTCAGCTTTGTTCGCATTGCAGGGCAGTGGGAGTTCCTTTTGCGATTCTGCACCCTGCTACATCGCGCTTCTGGCACATGCCGTCTTGCCAACGCTTCTTCCAAGCTGCAGACGGTGAATGGACTACATTTGACCAATGCATGCATGGAGGGGCCCAGGATCGCCGCGCTTTCTGGTGGGCCTCAACTGCTTTGTTGCGCCCTTTGCAGGCAACCTGCTCCAAGGACCACAAGCATTATAGTCAAGCTGCTTCGGCCCCACAGTGGCCTCATTTGCTTTGGGATCGTGCTGTAGAGTTACTGTGCCAGCACTCAGGCTTTACACCAACTACATCATCTTTGTTTGGTCCTCCAGGTCGTGACCTACGGCCTGCTATGGGCAAGCAATCTCGTAAAGCCCGGCCATTGGTCAGCGAATTCTGCAAATATGATGCTTGGGCAGTGCCTCTTCGTGCCGAGCACCCTGTGCTCCAGCTCCTGAGATGCTACCCTAAAGGAGCCCGTGCAGTAAGACGCAAACTTGTTGATCCGGGGTTGGTTCGGGTTTGCGTTTTACCTTCTGTTGACTTGTGCAAGGTCGATGATGTCTTGTCGAGCCCCTGGACATGGTCCACTAAGCATTGCACGCACGATGCGCACACACCGACCAAGGATTTCTCTGATGTATGCGGCTTATTGCCTCCGACTGAGCATTCTCCAGTGCTTGAAGTTGTATGGATTGGCATCCCCCGTGAACCGGATGACTTTTTACGTCGAGCCGTGGCAGCCGGTCACCCGAAATCCCTTCTTGATGTCGAAGCCGATCCGCACATGACCTTGCTAATAGACAACCTTCTGAACAGCAGTGTCAAACAGCCAGACAAAGGTTTGCATGAAGTTCAGCGTTGGACCGAGCTACGGTCGGACCTCTCCGAATCCCAGGATTTGTGCAAAAAGGAGTGGCCCATCCATGTGGCGCAGGTTCTGGATGCAAAGCCAACTCTGCTGATGGACGAATTGCTCACACAGCACGACTTTCCAGACCGCCACCTTGTGAAGCACATGACGCAGGGGTTTAGGCTTACGGGCTGGGTTTGTAGATCGGGTCTTTTTCCCTTTGACCCTAAGCCTCCCGCCTCCACCTTAAAAAGTCAGCTCTCTATGGCAAAGTCCAGAAACACCGCCACCTTGACGAAGCTCTCCAAACAGGCTCCTGATGAGGTGTCTCGTCGTGCCTGGGCTGAAACACTTGAAGAAGTTGACAAAGGTTGGATTGAGGAAGACGAAAACCCAGATCTTTCTACGGTCCTTGTTGCCAAGCGGTTTGGGCTTTTACAAGGTCCGAAGGTCAGAGTCATAGACGACTGCCGTGCTTGTGCTTTCAACTTGTTAGCAGGCATCCCTGAGAAATACAGATTACAGAGCGTCGAATACATCGCTGCCTTCCTCTTGCGAGCCATGCTTGACCCTCGCAGCAAAGGAGTTAGCATCTCAGGGAAGACACTTGATTTGACTGCGGCGTACAAACAGTACGCCACACATCCCTTCGATCGTGACCTTTTACGGATTGGCGTTAAAGACACTTCAAGCGGACACGTTCGCACTTTCAAAGTGAATTCCTTGCCTTTCGGAGCGACGGGTAGTGTGTCAAGCTTTCTCAGATGTGCAGCTGCGATCTGGTTCTTGGGATCCCACGCATTGGGAATCCCATGGACCAACTATTTTGACGATTTCCCGATTTTCTCCAAAGATTCCGACTGCGACCTAGTGGAAGAAGTAGCCACCAGTTTTCTTGACCTTTTGCACGTGTACTTTGCACGCGCTGGCAAGAAAGCCACTGTGTTTGCAAAGGCTTTCAAAGCGCTCGGCCTTATCATCGATTTGAGCCATTTCGGCGAAGGATATGTGACCATCGGTCATACTCAAGAACGTGGGGATGAGCTGCGTGCGACAATCACCCGCATTCTTGAGTCCAACCGCCTTTCGCACGCTGAAGCCGAAAGCTTGCGAGGCAGGCTCCACTGGTACACTTCATTTCTTTTTGGACGCAGATCTTCTCAAGCTTTGAACGTCCTGAGCGACTGGGTAAATCGAAGTGCATCAAAAGGCATGCTGCCTACAGAACTCCGAGAGTCCCTCATGTTCCTCAGGGATGTAGCTCTCCATTCTGCGCCGCTGAAAATTTCGAGGAGTTTGCAGCGAACTTTCTTGATTTTTACTGACGGCAGCTTGGAGGGAAACTTTGCTTGTGTGGGAGGCATTCTGCACGATAGTCAAGGCGTGCCCCTAGCCTTTTTCTCAGTCAAGCTGAACCAAGCCTCTACTGAGAGACTCCACCATCACTCTTCGCATCCCATATACCTGCTGATGTATAGCGGTTGCTATGGTTGCTGTGGTTTTGGCTTGACTTCACTCAAGGAGAGCCGATGAAAAACCCGATGCTCATCATGATGTTTTGCTCATGATGCAGCTCATGATGCTTTGCTCATGATGCAGCTCATGATGCTCAAAATCATCTTGGGAAGTGCCACTTCTGAGTTCACTTCCGAAACTACGGGGGTAACAGCAGTGGGCCTTATTTATATTTACGTGTATATGAAAATCGTACATGTAGTATATTTTGTGTATGTAGTATATACAGGTATATATAGTATTATATACGAGTGATTGGGCATGTAGTATATACAGGTATATATAGTATATACGAGTGATTGGGCTGCCCCAGTCTTTCTATAAGCGCTCGGCTCCGGCACCCCGACACCGCTCACCATGGCAGCTTTGCTTACAAAACTTTCATCTCCTTCCTTCTGGGTTTAGGGTTAGGGGTTTAGGGTTTTAGGGTTCTGTGCCGGATTTAGGACCCAGCCTGGCCAGAAAATTCTCCGGACCGAGCAGGGGTCGTTGTGAGCTCGCCCATCGCTGATTCCAGGCAGGGAGGACAAGGGCGCTTAGGGATTACTTGGAAGGGCAGAGGACTAAGTAAGTAGGCTGCTATAAGTAGAGTTATAGGTAACTCCAATTATAACCCTACTTACTAAGCCCCCTGCCCTTCCAAGTAGGGGTTCAACTTAGTGAAGGGTCATCGTGCTCGCACTCATGCTACGACGACAGAAAGTCTTACAAGTAGGGGTTCAACTTAGTGAAGGGTCATCGTGCTCGCACTCATGCTACGACGACATAAAGTCCTGATCCGGCAGGCGCTACTACATTTGCTACATATACTGTATTCGACCTGCGAGCAGCGCAGGCAGGGACCCTCGGCCTAGTGGCCGGAAGTTGCCCCGGCAGGCAGGGACACTGGTTTTACCTGCGAGCGGCAGGAGGGACACGGATCAAGGGCGGTTTGTTTTCCCTCCTACCTAGCAAGGGCGAAGCCCGCATTGCAGGGTGTCTCTTGTGGCAACAGCTGCTCAAGGGCGGTTTAGGGTTTAGGGTTCGGAATGCTGCCCGGGTTGTGGCCGCTCAGACCACAGCCCATACAAGGTCGTGGCCGTTCAAACCGCTGGCCGGGTTGTGGCCGCCCAGACCACAGCCCCTAACAAACCGCTGCCCGGGTTGTGGCCGCTCAGACCACAGCCCTTAGGGGTTACGGACGCTAAGACCGCAGCAGGAAACTCTGACATAGGGTTACGGCGAGCGAGCCTTCAACGGCAGATAATTTTGCGACTGGACTCCAAGCACCCCTACCCAGAGACTCCGATATCCCTTAATTAAGGAACCTTAGATTATAAGAGGATCCCCACATGATTTAAGGAATATTCCTTAATTAAGGGATATTGGAGTCTCTGCGTACCCCTATCCCCTAGATCCTGTACACACCAAAGCGACACCTGAAATCGAACAGCAGATCTCCGAATTCCCCTAGATCCAAAGCGACACCTGAAATCGAACAGCAGATCTCCTAGATCCAAAGCGACACCTGAAATCGAACAGCAGATCCCCGAATTCCCCTAGATCCTGTACACCAAAGCGACACCTAAATCGAACAGCAGATCTCCGAATTTTCCGACACCCTACCCTATCCCCTAGATCCTGACACCTGCAATCGAACGGCAAATTTCCGAATTTTGCGGTTGGACTCCCCCGAGCACCCCTACCTCTAAATCCTAAGCGACACCTGAAATCGAGCGAAAGATCTCCGAAATGCGACGATCCCTAAATCCTGAGACCCATGGCCCCTTGGCCCTTGAGGAGAAGGGCTCTGTGAGAGTTACTGTCGGAGTCTGAGGCCCCTTGGCGCCTTGAGAAGAAGGGGTTTATGAGAGTTCTGTCGGTTTAATCAGAGTTACACCCCCTAATACATCGACCCATGGCAACCCTAAACCGAAGCCATAGAGCCCAATACCCCGGCCGGTTGGAAGGATTGACCATGTGGGCACCGGGTTCAGTACTTCAAGACCCTGCAAAGCCCCCACCCCAAAACTCGAGGCCGGACCCTGCCGGGAGACCTTGCACTGGGAATGGCTTGCCGAGGCCTAGGATTTGGCAGTGCTTCGGTACCGGGGAACTGAATAATTTTGAAGTTTTTCTGGCGGCTTGGGGTTTTGGTCTAGCAATGATGGAGTTTTTTTTTTTTCAGGCTTGGGGTTTTGGTCTAGTGGACTACCAGAAATACCGGGGAACTGAGTAATTTTGAGCGGTCAATGACGTTTTTTTTTCTGGCGGCTTGGGGTTTTGGTCTAGCAATGATGGAGTTTTTTTCAGGCTTGGGGTTTTGGTCCTACTGGTCTAGTTTTCAGGCTTGGGGTTTTGGTTTAGTGGACTACCAGAAATAGAGTCAGGGCGTAGGGGTTTAAAGATCGACCCGCTCGCACTGTTTTTGGCTCAGGGTACCTAGTGAGCAGCTTGTGCCCAAGGCAAAAGCTACACTTGCTTGCTACACTTGCTTGCATATGGTAAAACGCAAGCATGGTGGTATGGAGCCGCAGGCCAGGAAAACAAAGAAGCCTAAGCACAGAAGAGGAGGGCGTGAAGCCCTTTCGGTGGAGCAAGTGATTCACTTCTACTTTGTCCTCTTGCGTGACGTCAACTGTGCATTCGCGGCGGTGATGTTCGTTTTGGGCCTGATGCTAGGCGAGCGAGCCGAACTCTTGTGCAATATGCAAGACACCTGGTTCGCTGGCCTTGATGCCTCCCACGGCCAGCTGCCCACGTGCACCATTCGATCAGTCAATAAAAAAACCAAGTGTCGAGAAGTGCCTTTGGAATCTGGCTTCGGACAAGTCATGTGGCAGTGGGTGACAGGCGGCAAGCCACTGCTAGGCGGACAAGAGGGAGAAGATCGCACACAGTGGCCGCATCAAGGACAAATGCTGTTTCAACCTAGGCGGACAAGACGAATCGGCAAGCAACAACCGGGACGCTATTTGTTTCCGGGCAGGACCCTAGGAGGGAACAATGTGCGTGCATGGAGAAGGCCTATTACCACGCGTGGTTTCTTTGGCAAATTTCAAGCAGCACAAGCGGTCATCGTGAAACAGCTCCAACAGGCACGCCAAGAAGGCCAGAGGCATCCGTTTGATGGCATTGACATCAAAAGAGTGACCACCCATTCTATGAAAAAATCAGGTGTTACTCTCTTAAAGACTTCAGGCTGTTCTACAGCCATAGTCTCAGCCATCACTGGAACATCAGCCCGAGTCCTAGACTCCATCTACGACATCCCTACCCAAAATCGCCAAAGGCAAGCAATGTCCGTGTTTCAGCCGGTGGTGCAGGGCATGCTGCCCGCTCGTGGTGGGGGTGGACGGCCATCGGAATCTTCAGGCTCTCGAGCATATTGCGTTCAGTGCGGTCAAGAGATAGAGAAGGATTGGCGATTTTGCAGAAACTGCGGGGAGAAACAACCCTGCGGCTGAATGGTTCTCACGTCTCCAATGCGGGCTAGACAAGGTGAGATTTTTCCAAGACAGGGCACAGCCCACAGCAGGTGATTTTTGAACCGGCGAGAGAAAAGGTTTCTCCACATCCGAATTTCCTAAACCCTAGCTTACAACCCGTGCGCAGCAACCCTACCTCAACTGAACCTGTTTACGTTCCAATTCCTTGCCTTGAACCTGGAAGAGTAGTCTCGGAGACCTTGAGCCCGTCTGCTTCCCCCAAAAGCACCAGTCCCAGCACAGATTCTCTTACCCAACGCGGCAGTCGAGGGTTTAGGGAACCAAAGCTGCAGTCCCAGTAGCTGCATGTAGGCTTCGGTCCACCAGCGCTGTACGCCGCCCGCGGCCCGGACTGCATAGCGAGGGTTCTTTCGACCCTAGGGCTCCATGGGACTTAGAATTGGGGTTATAATCGGGTAACTGCAGTTATTACCCTTATAAGGTACTTATAACTAAGTCCTATGGATCCTCCAAGGTTGTCGCTTTGATAATCGAGGTCTTTCGGAGAGAAGGTTGTCGCTTTGATAATTTTATGGGATCCAGAGCGGTTGCGTTTCTGGAGAGAGAGAGAGAGGAGAGAGAGGAGAGAGAGGAGAGAGAGGAGAGAGAGGAGAGAGAGGAGAGAGAGGAGAGAGAGGAGAGAGAGGAGAGAGAGGAGAGAGAGGCGAGAGAGGCGAGAGAGGAGAGAGAGGAGAGCGAGGAGAGCGAGGAGAGAGAGGAGAGCGAGGAGAGCGAGGAGAGCGAGAGAGAGAGAGGAGAGAGAGAGGAGAGAGAGGAGAGAGGAGAGAGGGGAGAGAGAGGGGAGAGGGAGAGGGGAGAGGGGAGAGGGGAGAGGGGAGAGGGGAGAGGGGAGAGGGGAGAGGGGAGAGGAGAGAGGAGAGAGAGGAGAGAGGAGACAGAGTAAGGGGGCGCGACATAGATATAAGAGAGGGAGGGCGTGAGAGGGGGAGAGGAGAGGGGAGAGAGGATAGGGAGAGAGTCCTAAACCCTGAAGCCCAAACCGTGCTTGGAAGCCTACAGCTCAACCTCTTTCGCAAGTAAGTGCAGGTAACCCTAAACCCTAAACCCTAAATCGAAGCCTTGGGTGGCGTCTTGGGTGGCAATTAGCTCTGATTTTTAGGGCTTAGGGGTTTAGGGAATTAGACACCAGACATGTGAGGAATGCAGCGCCTCTGCAGGCTGCCAGTGGCCTGGCCGACAAAGGGGCATACGAGCAGACAGGCTGGCAAGTGAGTTTGCATACTGTGCGGCGATCTTTTTTCACGAATGAGGGGCCTGCTGCTTCGATGATAAGATGTGTTCCGGAGAGATGAGCGATCGAGGCTTTACAAGAGTGTCATGGACATATCATCCTGATGATATCTTCTCCGGAGAACAAGAAGACCTACAGCCTGGTCTTGGAATACACGGCGCCGGGCATCTGTCCACATTCAGGAATGTGATCCCATACTGGATTCAAACATTTCTTCCGGACCACACCAGAAGCTAGTAAGGCATTAGGAAGCAGTCTGCACAAAACCGAAATGGACATACCGTCTCCAAAGCTTGTTCCTAAGCAGCGGTCACTGGCATGCAGCTGCATAAACTGGACAATTGATTTGGGCCAGCCTTGGAGGGCACCGATCTCGAAGATGTTCATGAACCGAGCGTGCTTCATCAAGTAGTGTCCATGCGACCCACTGCGTGCTTTGGTCAGGCAAGGGGAAACGTCGTACATGAAATTCAATTTGTCCCGGCCGCTGTGAGCATCGAGCACGATGTTGGAACCCGATGGACCCGACAGCTGTTGCTGGAGTTTCTCGATGTTCTTTGCAGCGACCTTGCTGACCTTGGTGTGCTGCTCCACATCATGAACCAAGAACCTCTCCAGGTAATTCGCTGGCAACGTCATGGGCTCCGGGAACTTGAACTTCGGACCCACTGCCGACGTCAATGTGGCAACTATATACACCCGGGGCCGGTTTTGAGGAAGCCCATGCGCTTGGCAATTCAAAATTTCGGCTTTCACGCGGTAGCCTGCATTCTTGAGGGCTGTAGTGATGCCATCGAGGATCTTCCGATGCTTGCCTGTGGTAAGGCCCTGAACGTTCTCGATGACCGATAAGGCAGGTCGCTTGCACAAGATGTACTCGACGCAAGAGAGCAGAACTCGCCCCCTGGCATCTGAGAGGCCAGCTCCTTTCCCTGCACAGGAAAACGATGGGCATGGGGGTCCGGCGCAGTAGATGTCGCATGATGGAGCTTTCTCCACGTCCCTCTCGGCCATGTCCTCGTAGATGATCCTGGGCTGGGCTAACCCGCTAACTCCCTTTTAGATCCTGGGCGCAAACTCCTTTCTAGATCCTGGGCTAAACTATAGTAGTCCAGGTCTCTCCGGCTTGTCATCATAGCGTTCATGCAAAGCCAGAAGCGCTTTGCGTTTCTCAGGGTTGATCTCCGAAACGAAAACTGTCCTGAGTTTCACGCGATCCCCGATGATCATCTTCAGCGCAAGGAACTCACTGCCCACGCCGGCGCAATCAGACCCCAAGCGGAGGCTCCCTCCTTTTACACGGCTCGACTCCGGCCTGTCCTTCTTCGACTGCTGAATCAGGTCCTTCAGCAAGATGTCATCATCATCAGTCTTGACGGACTTGGCGCCGCGCTTCTTCACTTTGCCATCAGAGGACTGGCCGCCGGTCACCTTCTTCAAGCAGTGCTTCTTCACTTTACCATCAGAGGACTGGCCGCCGGTGACTTTGCCGCGGGCCGCCTTGCTGGTCTTCACAGGCTCATAATCCAGATCCATGTGGCCCGGTCTGTTTGCTCACTTTCCTGGACTAAGCCGGTCGATGGCTGGCAATGAAAACCCATCACAGGTGCATCTGCCTAAATGCGACACACGACCACACGACAAGGACGGGCCCGCATGCATTTTGCAGACACGGTGTGCGATCTAGCTTCCAGCTCTCATCGGCTGGGATGCAGTACGGCAAAATGCAGGCCAAAATGGCTTGCGTGACTGCTCCTGACAAGCCTGCTTGTTCCCATATTACCTTATTATTGTAAGATATTTTACACCACACAAGTCAGCACGCAAAGCTCATCAGTGATGGGCGACGCGTGAAGCCGGATGGACGACACGTGAAGCTGCACGGCCTGTGCTAAGTTGTCCGATCACTTGGTTTTCTTGGTCTTGCGGGGCTTCTCTGAAGACTCGCTGGACGATGACGATGATGATGATGGCAGGAGCTTGCGCTTGCCCCCCTTCTTCTTCTTCTTGTCGTTCTTTGTGGAGTCATCTTCCTTCTTCGTCTTCTTGGGCGCTGGATCTGGCTTCTCATTCTTTGGCGCCGTCGTCTTGGACTTGCCTGCGATCTCAGCCCACTCTGCCGAGTAGAAGCTGCTGCCTTCAGTCGCCATTTGTGTCTTCAAATGGTTCACCATCTCGGTCTTCAATTGAAGGGAGTGGGCTTCACTCATGCATATTCCCAGGTAAGGAATGCGTCTGTCCAAAGCGGCACGGCAAAGTTCACCCTGTCCTGGAGACAGATCAAGGACTCCGATGACGTTGTTGGCTTTCAAGAAGTTCTCGTATAGCAACCGAGGAAGGAAGTTGAAAAACACCGGCTCCATCTGCTGCGCGGCGCGCGCCACATCCTCCGGGCCGTCATCGTCGTCCATGGCACTGGCATCGGATCCGAAAATGTGATTCCCGTACACCACCTTCTTGTTCTCCACGGTAGACATCCATGTGTCTGCAGGCTTAGACAGACCCCCGATGAACCCGATGATCGTTCCCCGGTTGGTTCCTGGGAAGTTATCGAACTTCCTTTCCGGGACCATCTTCGCCAGAGGATCCTGCGACAAGATGTGCCAGCGCATGACTTGCGCAATGCTGCCGCGGTTCTTTGCTCTTTTCTCCTTGACAGAGTCCTGGGCCAAAGCGAGGACGATCTCCGCATGCTCGATGTAGTGGCTCAGGCCAGCACGCTTGGAGTGCTGCTTGAAAGGTGCCAACATCGTAGAAGGGCACCGCCCAGCATCACAGACAACAAGGGCATCACCACTGATAGGAACATCCGGCTCAGCAGCAGAGCCAACGGGGCGAGCTCCTCGCCCGCGCAGGGCCCCATAGACCAGCTTGTTGATGATGTCCGGAGGGATTGATGGCGCACGATAGCCAGGCCGTTTCGAGGACTCCCCCAAAAGGTCCGCGTCGATGTGAAGCATGACCATGTTTTTGCCAACTGCCCCCTCGATGGAAGACTTGCTCAGCGGTGACTCAACGATGGCCTTCTCGATGCCTGCTTGGGTGTCCGGCTCAGCGATGAGCTTGACGTAGACGTTCAGTTGCTGGGCCGCGGTGGCGACCCAATGCTCTGGGGACCCTCGTTGGTAATTCGAGGGGACAGGTGCCTTCTTGCCACTTGCCAGCTGGCTCTCTTCAGTCTCCTCGGCGGCAGCCGCCTTCGTCTCCTCGCCAACCAATGCCCGTTCAGCTTGCACTTCATTCTCCCGTTGCTCCACGCACGCCTTCAATCTGACTGCGAATGTTTCCAGCTCCACAAGTTCGAGGGGCGATACACGCTGGCCTTTCTTAACACACGTCACGAGGGCGCTGTTGAGGGCCGTCCCGTACAAGACGTCCTCCCGCGCGAGAGTAGTAAAGTCAAGGAATCAAGGAAAAAGGCCGACACCATTAGTATAGGTCGGTTCTAGCTGCCCTTGCCTCCAGCAGCTTCATCAGCAAAAGCGATGATTTCGCAAGCTGTGCTTGCCAGCTGTTGTCAGGAAGGGCATCCGCTGCCATGGGCGTGACGAACTTTCGATAGTCCTGCATGAGAATTATGGTTATGAAATACCAGGACCATGGAATGAACACAGCTGGAAGAGAGAACACACACAAACACACCCACACCCACAATCCTCGTGGGTGAACATCTTCCGTTTCAGCGATGAAAGATCTTCGACCCCGAAGCCACACTTGGGCAAGTGAAATTCCACGAAGTACTCAGCACACGACTTTCTGAATTTCAAGACCTCGACGGCGCTGGCAGAAGTTGCTGAGCCTGAGAGCCAAGCCTGGGTAACGCCCTCATTCCTGAGCACAGTCGACCCTTGCTTCAAGAGGTCGAGAATCCCCTGCATCACCCAGATCTTTTGCTCTTTGCTGTCGCACTTTTCGGCCACGATCTTGAGTTTGTCCATGCTGTTGAAACATGAAGCTAAGCCATGCCGCGCCTCCAGCTCGTCCAAAACGCTGTTCACCTCCGGGATACTCAGCATGCGGTCGTAGACTTTCAGGGCGGAAGCGATGAAGCCGTCTGCGATTTCCTGGAATCTAACCCGTGCCGGCTAAACTTCGATTAAAGGAGTACGAGCAAGCACACCACAAAGTACAAAGTACTCATTAATGGATGTAAGTGTCCGTGGACGTGGCATTCGGACGGGCCTTGTACAGGTCTTGCAATTCCTTGTGTTTCAGCGGTGTGCCGATGGCTGCTTCCTTGCGGTTCTTGAAGCCGACCACTTCATGGCACATCTGCCGCGCCGTGCGCTTCATGCTGTCGTGGGCTTGGGTGATCTGTTGACGGGCCTCGTAGGCAGCCCAGTAAATCGCGTCTTCCCCACTGACAATCTCGAACTGGGCGGGAGTCGATAAGAGGATTGCTTTCCACTGCTGGAGCTCACTATCCTCAGCCCCTTCGTTGATTCGACCTGCCACGAAGAGCATGACAGAGTGCACCATTTCCTCTGGCGAAATCATTTGCCAGCTCCCCTTCGTCCGATCGACCTCCGCGTCTGCACCTGCGATGGCGATGACGATCGGGTTCCGGAGGTGGGCTGGCCCTTTCCGGAAGAACTGGTCTGAGAAGGATTTGGTGCGGCTCAAGTTCAGTGGCACGTTGGGTGTGGCACTTAACATCATATCCACCCAGAACATGTTCACAGCGGCTCTGTACACGCCCTGGGCCTTCAGGGCGGTGGAGCAATCAGCAGCATCAAACACAGACTGCACCCCACACTCATGAGCAGCCACTGCATCGCTGATCTTCATGGGGGCCTCGCTTATCATGCTTCTGAAGATGGGATGCTTCAGGATTTCATCACGAGCATTGATGACCGCTGTGTAGTAGCCGGTGTTGTGGCAAGGAGAAGGAGTCACCACCACCGCCGCGGAAGGATCAGCTGGCGCCGGGGCTGCGGCAGCAGGGGTGGATCTTGGCCCTGCCTTGGCTGCAGCACGCTTAGCCTTCGCCTCCTTGATCTCCTGAGCCATCTGGTTCTTCGCAGTCTCCCGGTCTGCTTTGGCTTCCTGCTTGGATTTGCCTGCAGCGATAGAGGCTGCTTCTGCCGCTTTTCCGTGCTCCTCGCAAGTCTTCTCCTCGGTCTTGTTTAAGCGCCACTTGCTTGCGGTCATGGCTCAATCTACTGGTTCGGGAGTCTTCAGGCCTCCCTGAAAAATCACTGTGAGCGATGACGATGGCTTCCGGAAGTCAACAGTCGCAACCAGCTGCTATATTCAGGCAAACACCACTGAAAAGTCACTGTGCGCGATGACGATGGCTTCCGGAAATCAACAGTGTGGGCAACCAGCTGCCACATTCAGGCAAACACCACACCCAAGGCAGGAACGCCTGGTTCAAGCCTCTCTCATCCTCAATTTCAATTAAAGTAATCACCCGATAAAACACGCAAAAGCACACCAAAGCGGCAGCCCCAGTGACATTCTCTTACCGGCCAAATGACCAAATCACCCCAGACCAAATCGGCAGCCCCACGAATAAACGACGGCAGCTTCGCCTCGGAGCCGAGCTCGAGGCCCAGCGCAGCTGGGCGATTGACCTGAGGGAGCCCCGGCTTTGAGGGTCACGTCTGGTTGCTGTGGTTGTGGCTTGACTGATGGTCCTGACGCTTTGACGATACACATTCACTCAAGGAGAGCCAGCATCTGGAACCTGAATCTCGGGTAGTACTCGTTTTTCCCTGTGTTGACAGCAAAAGGGAAAAACCCCAAGCTCAGCGATGCTCATGATATGGCAGCCACTATACATCAGGCCGCAGGCCTCCTCTGCTACTCACCGTGAAGGGGAGGGAGAGATTAGAGCGCAACCGCTGTACGTCAGGCCGCCGAGGGCCAAGCAACCGCTGTACGTCAGGCCACAGGGGCCACGCAACTGCTGTACGTCAGGCCAGCAGCGGGTGAAGTTAACTTCAGCTCAGGAGGGGTGAACCCCGCTGTGGCGAGAGACCCCCCTCCAAACCACCCCGGGCACTCGCCAGGTGAAGTCAACTTCGGTTGGCGAGAGAGAGGGGGGGTCGACCGCCGCTCATGGCGAGTCACGGGGGCTCCGCTACAGAAGTTGCGGCCCACCCCTCCTCTCACCAACTGAAGTTGACTTCGCCTGGCGAGTGCCCAGGGGGGGTTTGGGGGGGGGTCTCTCGCCGCAGCAGGGTTCACCCACGCCCTAGCCAAGAACCAAGTGCCAGGAAGAAAGAAAAATTGTCGCAACAGGCTAAGTGGTTGTTGATGCATTACTTAGAATGCATTCTAAAGCCACGAGTGGACGTAACATCTGTAACTTTGCGCACTTCAAAAGACACCCCGCATGGTCCTGGTATGGGGATGATACTTGATCTCTAACTAGGGCAGCCCCGTCTCAAGCTGAAGCCATTCTCGCAGTTTTCTGAAACATCGAAACACGCGACCTGCCAGCACCAGCCGCCGGAGATCAAGCCCACGAGCCCAGCAGAACCTGGGCCGGCACAACAAAGACACACTGGATTAAGCAATGGAATCCACAATGATGAGTGTCAGTGTGAGTCAGCATTTTTTCCACCAGGATGTCAGGATGCTTCCCCCCCCGACATTGCAAGACTTCAGTAAGCTAACCGCTGCAGGTCGAACTTCTGCTGCGAGAAACAAACTGGACAACCCCCGATCCATCAACGATGACGACCGCATTTGCCGGACTTGTCATAGTCCAACTTGGAGATCTCCTTTAACATGCTGACTTTGTCACGCCACCGATCATCTCGACCTTGAGCTGCTTCTGCCGACGTCCCCAGCAAGGCATCCGCCTCTCGACGCTGCTGGACCTCCCATTTCGATCCTCTGTGATTCACAGCTTGTCGGATGAACGATGATATGATGGGCTCCTCTTGCCTGAACTGAGGACTCATCCAAATGGCTAGCTTGCGCCTGCAGACTGGCTTGAACTTGAGAATCAACCCACTGTTGTCCGTGATCGCGCTGACTTCCATAACAGTCTTCCCAAAGAAAGCGGCCACCCACGCCAGAGGCTCTGGCGGTTCAAGAGCATCTCTCACCACGAGAACATCTGCTGAGCTCCAACACTCGTCAGAATTCTGAAGGCTGATGTTGTTCGCCATCAAGATTGCGCTCACGTCATGGAATGCATCTTCCGCCAACCGCCAAACAGTGCCATGGAACTCGGCCAAGCACAGCTGCAAATGATTTTTGGAAGCAGCTTTTTCATTCTTCTGTCGCTTCTTCTTCAACGTGGCATCCAGCCTGGCCACCTTGGCCTTGTGACTCGCAGCGTTCTCCTTCAGCTCGTTTGTAATCTCGCGGTCCAGCAAGAGATTGTCCTCGTAGGCTTCCAGGAGGCGCTCCGCCTGCTTAGTCTTTTGCTTTTGCAGAGCTTCTTCATGGCCCTCATCCCAAGTCTCGAGCTCCATAGATGAAGGAAAAGCCAGATCTGCTGATTGCCGATCACGATCCACGCCCTCCTGGACATCCGTTCGTCGCTTCTTGAGCCAAGCGGCTTGAGACTCAGCGTCGGCACGGGTGCCACGGCGGATGTCCTTGTCGACACGGGCTGCGCCTCTCTGCCGGCAAGCCGACCCTGGAGAGCATTCCGAATAGAGCTTCTGAGCCTCTTGGCATAGAGTCTTCTCAGCTTCAGGGCTGATGCTCAAAGTGGCGAGCCTGATGGCTCGGACCTCATGTTCCACCGAAGCCGGAGACTTCGCAGTCTGGGCGCGGTCCTGCCGGCTGAAGGTCTGTTCCAGACCGCTCGTCGATGCCTGCCATGCCAAGTAACGAAGCAGTACGGGAAGCACGTCGCTTGCTGGGTAGGATGCACGCAAGGACTTGCGATGCTGTGTTTTCTTCATAACTTGCGCCCATGCATCCTTGCTGCTATCACAGCCATTCTTCACCATGTTCACTGCCAAAGGCCGCAGCCTGGAAAGCTGCTCCATCAAGCCGACGGGGTTCACATTGAAGACTTGAGCTAGTCGCCTGGCCATGTCTTGAGTTGTGTCCTGCAACTGCGACGACGGAAGATGGCCCTGACGGAGACCTGAAACCGAGAAGAGACCCATGGCATGGAAGACACCGTAGTCCGGGAACTCAGTTTTCAGCACCTCCAGGGCAAGCTTTGTCCAACAGGCCATCCTCGCCAGCGATGTCTGGATGTGCTCGTCGTCCAAGCTGCAAAGTCGCCTGGCCTCACCTTTTCTGGGGTCGAACACGATGAGTCCCTTCTTCAGCAACTCTAAGACATACTGCGTGAAGCCACAGGCCTTGCAGTTCCCACGGATGAAGAGCCACACCACACGCTCAGCAAAGTTGTGCACATGATGTCCGATTTCCGCCAAATCTATGTCTTCCTTGTCGACCAGCCTGATGAGGAACAAACCTTCATCCATAGCATCACACAGCATCCCCAGCATGATAAGCCTGCTGGGGGTGATGTTCGATAGCCAGTCCGCGGCGACCATTCCGGCATTCGAACCGGATCGTGTCTGGGCCACCCGCTGCGTCACGGCTATGAAGGACGGAAGGTACAGAAGAAGCCTGGCCAACGGAGTGCTGTGCGACTCGAAGCGATGTTTTGCAGCTTTCATGTTCCTGGCTCTAGCGCCAAAGCCTTCAGTGCACTCCTGAAGCTTGATTTCCGCAGCCAGCCACTCTTGAAAGTCAAAGGAATTGTGCACCACCTGCACCATGGCATTCTTGGACAAGACCATGTCTTCCATAAGATGATTGAGGACTGTGTCTGCTAAGTAGGGTTTCTGGAGCACACGTCTGAAGCCATGGGCGTGATCACGCCCAATCACCTTGATGGCGGGAAAGAGCGGCTCTTGGATATGCTCTGCCTCGATGGTGATGTCGCGATGCCCCCTGCTCATTTGCCCGGCCACTAACTCATTACTGGCAGCATCTGTCATCATGAGTTCGACACGCTTGCAGGCAGATTTGAGAGCAGCTTCATTCAATTGGGCAGGCGGTCCATCGTACCAGCGAGGGGGCTGAGCATATTCTGTGAAGAAGTCTTCGCAAATCTGCCTGGTAGCACCCACCAAATCGGCGGAGCTGTCTCCTGCACCTTTCGTCATGCCCAGAATGCCAGCATGACATTGGAAAGTGGAGGTGCACAATCCGTACCTGATCAACAGCCTCGCTCGCCGGGCATCCCGGCACAAAGAAACCGTCTCCGCATCTCCAAACGCCTGCCTCTCCCGACGGAGAACACACTCGTGCAGGCACCAGTGCATCAGCTGCACCTTGTCGCTCATGCACCCGTGTTCGGCAGAAGCTCTCAATGAAGATCCCTTCATGGCACTCTTGAGGAGGGCTTGGAACTCCACTAGCGGCGGGGCTCCTGGAAGCTCAGCCGAAAGACCGATCATGGCTTTTACTGCTTGTCTGTGGGACTTGCTTCTTGACTCATGGCCTCGCAGGAACCACAAGCGGAGATCCTTCACATCTCTGCCCGCACGCCCTTCGGCCCAAGCACCTTGCAGCCCAGCACGATGGCAAGCCACGCACTGCAGCCCCTGATTGCTTGCCACAACCCAGGACTGATCAGCGATGTGCTTTTGATCGGGCATCAGGATGTTGAGCTCGGCAGAGTCCAAACTGTTTCTCAACAAACACTTCGTTTGGAAAACCTCCTTTTGAGCCTTCCACACAGACATGAAGTCATCGTTTCTTCCCACTGAATTTGCAGAGTCGCACTTGTCCGACTCCTTGCTGCCTGTCCCCGGGCAGCTCTTCTGCTTGGGCGGCGGAGTAAGCTCCACCTCACTGAAGTCCAGGTCCATGGCATGCCAAGACACTGAACTGCCTAAATTGATACACTGATACACTACCTTCTGTTTACCCTGAGGACTGCTATGTTAGGCCGCACGATCATCGATGATATCCCACTTGTTGCTTCGAGGTGAGCAAGGGAAATGAAAGGCACGCCACCAACCCACGTTCCAGACAGCGTGACACGGCCTGGCAGATCACCCAAGGCTTGGGCGGTGCAGGGTGAGGACGATGAGGTGACACCATCGGCCTGGCAACCGTAAGTCAAAAGAGAAGCCATGATGCAACATGTAGAGCAACTCTCTGCCAGAATGCCACTGTACGCGGACCCAACCCAAAAAAGGACTCCAGCCAGCAGCCTCCGCCCCTGCCTGACCCGGGTGCTTGTCAGTGAGCTCCAGGCAGGTCACCTGGCAACATGAGATTGAGGGCTCAGACTCAAGATGCAAGTGTTGCGCAAGCAGCTCCGTGCACAGGTTTTTTTTTCCGCGCAGCTCTTCGATGACCGATGGTAGCCCTCATTGACCACGCTCTTGCCATGCCCCTGACGTGGTGCTCCCACTGGGATCCGACCAGCCTTGCCAGGACCGAGATTGCCAAGCAGCGTTTGCCCATTGGTTTCCATCCTGATTGACCACCGCCAGAGCACGACAAAACAAAATCCCCATGATCATGACATGAATGACATTGATGATGATGCAACGGAGCCGCCGGTTGATGACCGGCTTGTGGTGGGGGATTAGGATGACCGGCTTGTGCTGGTGGATCACGATGACCGGCTTGAGGTGGGGGAGCAGGATCACGATCACGAGGACCTCATCCAAAACCAGCGCGGAAGCAACCCCACGAGAATGAAGAAACCTTCCTATGCAAACGAGGCGCCCTCCTCATCATCATCCTCCCACCACTTGCTGTACTGGGCCTGGGCCCGTTGCATCTGCCTCCTGCAATGGTCGGAGACCGCCCCGTTCACGTTCTGGAAATATCTCATCCTGGTCTGACCTTAATTTGTGCGAAAATCCTGATGGTTAGCAGGCCGAAGAATTTCAAGCAGGCCACGCACAAGCTTCGGGGCAAAGGAATGCGCACCAGCTGCACCATGTGCTGATGGATGCAGCAGCAAGGAGAGCACCTCCTGCACGGGAAGCATTGTTTCAAAAAGCGTGCATTCAGCTGACCTGTCACTGCTCCGTGCAGCCTGGGCGCCACCCAAAGATCAATGGGAACGTTGTTTCTCTCGAGGCACCACGCCAAGTTCGGAGCCTCCTTATCCATTGCGCTCCTCACTTTGGCATTCAAAACGTTCTGGCTGACAGGGATTCCCGGGATGCGTGGACCATCGCGGAGAACATCCAGAGCTTCCTCAATCAATTAGGCTTACTGAGCAGTGCTTGACAACTTGAGTCCGAGCTGCAGCCTGGGAGCACACCACCTGTCGATGTCGGCCCGATTCCGATGCAGAATGAGCGCGACGTCCGGGGCCTTTTGTGCCACTGCCTCCTTCACCTCACAGGCCGGAACACATGGGCGAAAGAAAACGGATGTGTCTGCATGACGCAATGCAGAGGTAGCGCCAAGTTCGCAAGTCGATCTGCTTCACGGGCACGCTCATCACGGCCTCAAATTGGAAGCAACCCAAACACAATCGACATTGCATAAATGACATCCGGGGGGCGACCCCCCTCCACCCGGTGCAATTCAACTTCAATGCAATTGAGGTGCTGTCATCTGTCTGGGCACTCGAACTGCTGTGCCCGTGCAGCTCCGCCTGGATCTCATCAAGGAACTTCTTCGCTGCATCGGGCCCCATGTCTGCCAATGCCTCCTTCACCTCAGTGGGAAGAAGAAAACCTGTGGGACATGTGTGAGCTAAGTAAGTCCTTGCTTGATTCAGAGGAGGTGCCAGGTCTCGAGGCGATTTCGATGATGGCGGGGAAGCGGAATCCTGATGACCTGAATAATCAGTACCGACACTGAATCAGCAGCAGAAGGCATGACAGCTGAATGCCAGTGAGGTGCCACGGCCAGGGGCTTCCGTCTCAGGGGCTTCCGCCCCGGCATCCGTGATGGACAGCATGACGGCCGGGTTGGCCATTTCTATGCCCCCTCTCCTTATTGAATTTGAGCCCGTACATCGGACGACGAAACTGCCAGGACCGTTGCGATGCAGACAAGCCGATCAGCAGTGCAGGCAAAGCAAACCCCACCGACCCTCAAAATCAAGGCTTCTGCACCTCGGCGGTGGCTTGCGGAGCGATGGGCGATGTCCCGGCCGGGCCTCGCACACAGACACAAGATCACCGCATAGTGAGGCACTCAGGCTGACTGACTCTGGCTGCTGCAAAAACACAAGCCCTCAGATGAACTCAGAAAGCGAGCCCTTTAAAATTGAATCCCCCAGGCCCCAGGCTGGAAGCAGGCCAACAGCGACTGGGAGGTCCTTCGCGGAGCGGGGACGTGGAATGCTGGGTTAACTAAAGCTGCAACTGCCTGGCTTAATAGAGGTTCAGGGCTTAGGGGTTGATAGGGTCCACGGGTTAGGGGTTAGGGTTTAGGGTATATAAGGGTCCACGGGTTCGGGGTTAGGGTTTAGGGTATTGTGGTGGGTTTCGGGGCAGGCTCAGGGTTGGTGTTTCAGGTTTGCAAGGGCATTGTGGTGGGGTTCGGGTTTGCTTGAGTTCAGGGGCAGGGGTTGATGTTTCAGGTTCACAACAATAAGAGAAGAGCCTCCAGCTCCAAACCCTAAACCTTGAACCCCAAACCCTACACCCTGAACCATAAACTTCAACCCTGAACATCCCTGAACTCCAAACTAAACCCTGAACCGAATGGTAAAGGGCTAAGGAGAATCACTTTACCTTCTTTTTGGCGCTCGTCGTGCCGGAAGACGATTGACGATGATGGGCTTAGCGCTCCAGCCAATCTGAACCAAGCTATCTTGCTGAATGGAGTATGATTAAATAACACGATGGACGACCGGGGCAGCTAAGCACCAGCTACTGCTTCGCCTTGGCCGCTTTGGCCTTGGCCGATTTGGCCTTGGCCGTTTTGGCCTTGGCCTTAAGCGGCTTCCCTTTCTTCTCGTCCTTCTTCTTGTCCTTCTTGCTCTTCTTCTCGTCCTTCTTCTTGTCCTTCTTGCTCTTGCGCTTGCGCTTTGCCGGCGGGCTTTCTGAAGAGGACGATGAAGACGATGACGCCGATGGCGATGATGCCAAAAGCGAACAGCTCGAAGCCGATGGCGATGGCGGTCTTTCCTGGAGTGGCGCTAACCCCAAATTAGAAATCGATTAGCTAACCCAAACGAAAAGCCCTAAGCCTTAATTAAACCACCCTCAATTCCATCGGGTCCTTCGCCTTGGGCTCTGCTTTGGCCGCCGGCTTGGGAGCAGGTGCCGCCGGTGGCTTGGAAGCAGATACAGTATCGTAGATGGCCTTAATGTCGTCCTCGCTGACGATGCCACTGGCCTTCCACGTGTTGACCAAGCAGCCGGCTGCCAGGCGGAGCTCCGGTGTGTCCTCGCACCAGGACAAACTGACCCGCCCTAACCCTAGACGTTCTGCTACCGGGCCACCCCAAAAGCACCCGAAATCAGCAGTAGACATTCTCTTACCGGGGCGGGCCAAATCTTTGTCCTGAAGCATGATCCTCACCACCACATCCCGGAGCTGCAGAAAGGACGAGTCCCCCCGCAACAGCACAGCTGGGGTGCTCTGCAACATGGCCAGCACCGAACTCCTCAAATCCACGCGTTTGCCTCAATGTTTGCAAAAGCCGTCCTAAACCGAAAGCCCCCTAAAACCCTAGAGACGTTAATATCAAAAACAAATCGTTGAAGCTTTTAGCCAAGCCGCGGAGAAAACGATCCAGCAAAGCACCGATGCCGATGGTCAGAGAGTCAGCGATGAAGCGATGGTCGGCAGCTCTAGAAATCCAGTCTCGGCTGCAGCGCACCACCACCTCGAACGACACGTTCTGCGGCTTCAGCAGCTCCACGAAGTGCTCAGCGACACAAACAACTACGAAAGCAACATAACCATTGGTTCGGTGATGTATATAAAAATTCTAAAGTCTGCTGTTGGATTCGGGAAACACGGGCTGCCGCTGATGCCCCACCGACGCTGCTGCCGGGCACAGCAGCACAAGGGCTCGGTGTCGGTGCCCCCTAGGTCCAAATCGATCCCGAATCCAGGCAACCCTATCGGTTTAAGGTTTAGGGGGGACGGGCGTAGCTTCTGACCAGGCGCCGCTGAGGATGAAGCAGCAGCAGCCTCGGCCAGCTGCCGATGGTGCACCGCCTGCTGCAATGCCTCCGCCGCCTGCTGCCGCTCCGCCGCCGCCTGCTGTCTCTCCTCCGCCGCGCGTGCACGATCTTCGGCAGCATCCACCTGAATCCAAGCGGGTGCCAAAAGAACTTTAAAGCTTGAACCCGACTTGCTTGTAAAATAAACTGTCCCTGCCAACATTGCCAAGCAGCTCTATCCTTGTGCGCCTTTGAACGCTCTATCGTGCCAGGCTTGTTCTTGTAGGATTTCCGCTTCGCTTCAGCACTCTTCTTATGAGGCATGGCGATGCACGGGCGAGATGCGATGTTGCAAACGTTGCAAGCTTTGCTCTTCAGGGCACCTGCTGAGCACTCCGCATAGAAAGTTGGGCTTAGGCTTTGAACCTTCCAAACCTAAGGCCCAAGTCGGGGTCTAAACCTGTCAAGACCTGAGCCCTTTGGTTCACAGCCAGCTCTTAGGCTGCGCGCTCGAGCAAAAGCAATCAGTGCCAGCGACACAAGTCCAAATCAGCTTAGGATCGCCTTGAAGGGCAGCGGACTTAGTAAGTAGGATATAAGTAGAGTTATAAGTACCGTAAATGGAGTTATCCCAATTACAACCCTACCTATAACCTACTTACTAAGTCCCCTGCCCTTCCAAGTAAGTTTCCCTGGAATACCCCTGCAGACCCGGCAAAGGTTTCCATGAGGTTGGGCACACAAACAGCTTAGGGTCCGACAAGTTTCCCATTAGCAGAAGTTGAATCAGCCCGCAGACCCCGAAAGGGTTTCGGGATATTAGGTACACTTTTTGTGCACGATTATATGATCCGTCCCTCAAACCTAGAAACCTAACAGGCCCCGGTAGTGACCTAAAACCCTAAAGCGTAAAAACCGAGGCATCAAATCTGTCCTTCCGTGCGATGATGCCCAGCACGATGCCGCCAGGAGATGGACCAGCAGCCTCGAGATTGGAAGTTCGGTTTGGGGTAGAGTTTAAGGTTCTCAGGGTCCAAGGATTAGGGTTTAAACCCGAAATCTTAAAAGTAAAACCCTAAACCCCTAAGAACCCCCAAACCCCTATACCCTAAACCCTGCGGACCACTGCCGAGGCTTTGAGCTCGGGGTTTAGGGTTTTCGGCGCTCACACTCGGTTTTAGGGTTCTAAGGGTGTTTAGGGTTTGTAGTGTTTAGGGGTTATGAAATGGGTTGTGAAATTGCCCAAAGAGTTGGCGTCCTCAAATCCAGAGCCCTAAACCATAAAGCCCCAAACCCTAAACCCTGCCGACCACTGCTTCTCAGATGCCGACTGCGGCTAGGAGCCCTCCAGCTCGGGGTTTAAGGCTTGGGGTTTTAAGGTTTAAAAGGGTTATGAAAGGGGTTGTGGAATCGCCCAACCCTAAACCCTTATTGGTGCAGGGTTCCAGGAAGTAAGTGTTTAGGGTTTAGGGGTTCGCCCGACCGAAACCCGAAGAGCCTCTAAGGGCTTTAGGGTTTAGGGTTACTAAATCCCAACTACTAAACCCGAAATCCTACCCCTAAACCCCTACACTCCAAACCCCTAAACCCTAAACACTTAAACCCGACCCTAAAAGCCCTTAGAGCCCGACCCTAAACCCTACACCCGACCGAAACCCGAAGAGCCTCTAAGGAAATCCCAACTACTAAACCCGAAATCCTAACCCTAAACCACGACTAAACCCCAAACCCCCAAAACCCTCCTAAATCCCAACTACTAGAGGGCTGTGGTCTGAGCGGCCACAACCCGGGCAGCGGTCTGAACGGCCACTACCCAGTACACCCACCCCTCAGCCCCAACCTCACCTCTCCACCTTCCCACCAACCTCATCTAAGGTTTATGGGCAGTGGTCTGTTCGGCCACTACCCGCTCGAGGCTGCGGTCTGAACGGCCACAACCAGGAGCCGAAGCCTAACCCACAAAACTCTAAAACCCTGAATCCCACACCCACCGGCCTCCACCCGACCCCAGAGCCACTGCCACCCTGGCCAGTGCAGGATTTAGGGGTAAGGGCTTGGGTTTGTAGGGGTTTGGGGATTTAGGGGTAAGGGCTTGGGTTTGTAGGGGTTTGGGGTTGTAGGGGTTGAGCGCTTGAGGCAGCTTCTCAGTATCGTTCCAGTGTTATCGGATGATTCCGAAGGGAACTCGTTCTCTGCATCGTTCCAATGTTATCGGATGATTCCGAAGGGAACTCGTTCTCTGTATCGCTCCAATGTTATCGGATGATTCCGAAGGGAACTCGTTCTCTGTATCGCTCCAAAGTTATCGGATGATTCCGAAGGGAACTCGTTCTCTGTATCGTTCCAATATTATCGGAGAACTGCCGGCCATGCCAACACCCTAAACCCCAACCTAAACCCTAAACCCTCTGGGCAGCCCGGCGGAAAGCCAATGAGGTCGACCAGCACATGGGAAGGGATAGGGTGGGATAGGGTTTAAGGGATATATATATATATATATATATATATGTAATATACATACATACATACATACATACATAAATACATACATACATACATATATACATATATACATATGCACGTGCAGGTGTGTATGTGTGCACATGTTCTATGTGTGTGTGTGTGTGATGCACTTCCATTACCACTTCCGAAGTCACTTCCGTCACACTTCCGTGCCCACTGCTGTTACCCCCGTAGTTTCGGAAGTGAACTCAGAAGTGGCACTTCCCAAGATGATTTTGAGCATCATGAGCTGCATCATGAGCAAAGCATCATGAGCTGCATCATGAGCAAAACATCATGATGAGCATCGGGTTTTTCATCGGCTCTCCTTGAGTGAAGTCAAGCCAAAACCACAGCAACCATAGCAACCGCTATACATCAGCAGGTATATGAGATTGAGTTGCTAGCTGTGTGGACGGCACTCACCCTTTGGGAGAGGCATATCCATGACAGCTACTCTGTCTTTTACACTTAGACAACGAAGCAGCTCGCGGAGCTTTGACGTCAGCCAGATCTTCTACTTTGACAGGTACGAAGATCGTCGAGTCTTTCTTGAGACTGGAAGATCGATCGTTATGCAGGCCGTGGTTTGGTCGTGTGCCAACCCACTCAAATTGCGCAGACGATCCGAGTCGTGACTCCTTCCAACATCTCATAAGGCAGGGGGTCCGCAGAGACTCTCTGCTTTGCGATTGGCCCTTTTGAGCTGCTGCTCTCTGGGGCTCCTTGGGGGCAGCTCGTTATGCCAAATGGCATCCAGCATGGTTGCTCTCGAATGACATTACCCCTTTGCCCTTTTTGAGTAAAACGAAGAGTCCGACTCGGTTAGCGCAAGTTTACGGGCTCCGCCCTTTACGCTCGGGTGTTCCCCGCCTTAGTGCACGTTTGAGGAAAGAAATAAGATTTTCGTCCCGGAGCGGAGCGTAGGGATAAATCTTTATTTCCTTTGAACAATCAACGGTTTTTCTCTGAAAACCGAGTGCACCAGTTTTCCAACTTTGTTTCCTTTGAGTCTTGCGAATACCTTGTCTTATCCGCATTTCTTCTCAAGGGAAGGGTGGGAGGGAAGTCCATTTCCTTCGGCATGAAGTGAATCAACTTTGTCCCGCCCGCCCTCACCTTTTTATTCAACCATTGCTGAGCCACTCCCTTGGCCCTCCTTGGGGGCAGCTCGTTATGCCAAACGGCATCCAGCATGGTTGCTCTCGAATGACATTACCCCTTTGCCCTTTTTGAGTAAAACGAAGAGTCCGACTCGGTTAGCGCAAGTTTACGGGCTCCGCCCTTTACGCTCGGGTGTTCCCCGCCTTAGTGCACGTTTGAGGAAAGAAATAATATTTCATATTGGATTGGAATCATATTTGATTACACTTTATACATATGCGTTTCGAGATTGCTTTCGATATATATACCGATTTCCTGTGAGCACGCTACTGGATCTTTTGTGCTATGCTTTTGGGGGGAATGCAAAATGCGTTTCGTATTTGAACGGTTATCGTGTTTACTCGATCCTGTTTAAATATCAAACCATTTTGCTTTTGCCTGCGGGCTTGGTGCGATTTTGTATTCCCTCCTTTTTTGCATGCGGCATGTCATGTTTTCTTGGAGCCCTTTTTCGCATCTTTATCGGATGCCGCAGCGAAGCCGGCTCACGAGAGAGCTGTTGCGTTTTTGATTTGCCCACCCTCCACTCCCTATTGGGGAGCCGGCTCTCAATATGCTTCTTGCAGCTGCGTCTGCGTATAGGTACGGCTAGTCTTCTGTCTTCCGCGGACCACACGTCGTTGCGGTCGATGCAGGACGAATGTCTTGGACCATTCGCTGGCGCTTTTCTTCGGGGACAAAGTCCCTCCAGGAGGTTTCCTGGTTTATCTGGGTCCCAATGGGGCCTTGATTAAACCGAGATTCCAGATGCTTTCAGATCTTACATCTGCGATTTCCGCCACTGCACAAAACATAGGGCGAGTGGAGCGAGTTCGGTATGTGATATATTTCATATTGGATTGGAATCATATTTGATTACACTTTATACATATGCGTTTCGAGATTGCTTTCGATGTATATACCGATTTCCTGTGAGCACGCTACTGGATCTTTTGTGCTATGCTTTTGGGGGGAATGCAAAATGCGTTTCGTATTTGAACCAGTCAGTGCAGAATGTGCATGGAAGTCTGCCTGGCCCAGTGCTTCCTTTGCAAGGGGTGCCACGGCCACCCACGTCAGTGCCGGGGCCTAGGAGGCTCAGCGAGCCTAGTCGTAGGCCTTTCGTGCCCAGGGTTGCAGCAGCACCACTGCATAATCCGGTTCCACGCCCGAGGTTTAGTCGTGTAGGCTTGGATTGTAGTCCCTTACCAAACCCTGTTCTCCTCAGGGCAGCTGATTATCACAGGCCTCGGCCCCTGGAGACGTCCAATACATTGGAGATCAGTGCACCTTCTGCTGTCTTGCACAGGGAGCGGACCCCGGCCCCCAGAGGTTGTGCTAAGGCTAGTGTAGATTTTGGTTTGGGTGTTCGTTTTCCGGCTCAGTCGAATGATGCACCGGCTCTGGGTTTCAGCTCGATCAATGACGGTCATGCCAAGCAGTTTGAGCAGGGCAGGATCATCTGGGAAATGCTCAAGCCCCGGCTGCTCCCAATCTCAGATTGCCGTGCCGACTTGTCAGGTTCATTTCACGGCAACGTGCTTGAGCACCGCATCCTTAGCAGTGTGGCGGAGACGACTCTTGTGCGTTACCTCAGTGCTGTCAGGCATTTCATTGAATCTTTGGAGTGCTTGGGGGTGCCGGTGTCGGATAAGGTCCGGCAGGTGGATGTTGCTGACGCTTTGCTGGTCATGCATAAAGGGGGCAGCCAAGTAGGCAACAGTCTTAAGGCGATCCGTTGGGCACGCAAGGCACTCGCTCTCCGCCTTCCGGACTTGTATTCAGGCATCATGTTGAACATCTCCGGAAAAATCGAGGCAGACCGCAAGGAAGCGCTTCCGCTTCCTATGTTTGTACTGGGACTTGAAAGGAGCTTGCTTTTGGCTGAGGGCTCCGTGCAGCACCGCTTATTCGTAGGCGCTATAAGTGATTCATCTAGGCCCGGGGGGCGTGACGCGCAAGAGGGTTCAGGGCATTTGGAGCATGGGTTCCAAGCCCTGGACTTGAAAATGATTTGTTGTAGTAGGGTTTGATTATTTTTCCATCGATCAGTCAGCGCAAGAACAACAGCCTCTCCAAACAAGTATCGTCCCTTCCCAAGAAAACGCGGCACGTTTTGGAACAAAATCGTCGTGAAAGCTACAAACCTACAACTTGTGATGTAGCCAACCCAAACTGCAAACCGCAAGCAAGCATATCTTCCTGACTTTGTCGGCTGTTTTATGAACTCGAATTCCGCGATTTCTCAGCCGCCGGGCCGAAACTCGATTGGGAATTGGGAATCCGAATCGCAGCACAGTTCAGGCACATGACTCACGTGACAGTGACAGCTTGACAACTTATCATCCAATCTTGCAAGAGGACGTAGGCAGTAGGCATAGCCTAGCTTGCTTGAGGTGTTACATTGGATAAGCCAAGATAAGCCAGATCTTTTCGTTGTGTAGTGTCATAGTGCTATGGCAGAGCCTGCCATCTTTAGGCTTCCAGATCCTGGGGACGGTGAGCTTGAGGACAGAGAGTCCGATGCAGAATCTGCAGAGGCCGAGGAAGCTCCCAGGTCTGCACTTGCCCTGCGTGTTGGGCGACATAGGGACAAACTTCGAAATGCTTCCCGTGCACAGGTTTTGTTTCTGTATGCGAAAACCTGTGGGAAGGAGCCGAAGCCAGGGCAGCCAGGGCCAGAGAGCCGCCGCAGCCAGTCATCGCCAAGGGGCCGGGCGGCCGGGCCGGCGCAGGCTCAGACTCCTCAGACGATGCTGCGGGTTTTTTTTGGACGCCACCACAAAGATCCTGGACATGCAGTCCTAAGATCTAAGATTTTTGGGCAAGAGGAAGGATCCTGGGCCTGGTGTCCTAAGATCCGTGCTCGAGAGGTAGGATCCTGGACCTCTCGTCCTAAGATCCGGCCTCGAGAGAAAGGATCCTGGACCCAGTGCTCGCAGACGAGGTCTGAAGCCGTAGGCCGAGGTAGCTTCGCAAGCGCTAGGCCGTAGAGTAGGAGCCCGACTGGCCTTCACCCGGAAACCTGAACCCTTAGCTGACGAAGCCCTCAGGCCCCAAGCAAAGCTACAGCTTTTAAGCTTTTAGCCGGAAACCTGAACCCTTAGTTGACGAAGCCCTGAGGCACCAAGCAAAGCTAGAGCTCAAAGGCCATGTCGGAGGTAGCTCCCCTGTTGCAGTCACCAAGCACACTCGTGCCAAAAAAGATTCGTTTCAGTTTTGTTTTTGTGGGGCATGTTCAACTCATAAAGGGTTTTAAGGCCACAACAGGACAGAACACAGAAAACACAGTGAATTCTCAAGGGGGCGGCTTTGGGGTTCTTGGGGGGGGGGTTTGGGGGCCCTGAGGGGGCACTTGGAGAGGTCTGGGGGGGGATTTAGCACCCGTTCGGGGGTCTGGTGTTCGGGGTGTCCGGGGTCGTGTCCGGGATGTCCGGGGTCGTGTCCGGGATGTCCGGGGTCGTGTCCGGGATGTCCGGGGCGGGGGCCCCGCGGGGGGTGTCTGGGGCTGTTTGGGGTGTCCCGCCCATGTCCCGCCATGTCCCGCCCATGTCCCGCCATGTCCCGCCCATGTCCCGCCATGTCCCGCCCATGTCCCGCCATGTCCCGCCCACGTCCCGCCATGTTCCGCCCGTGTCCCGCCACGTCCCGCCCATGTCCCGCCCATGTCCCGCCCGTGTCCCGCCCGCCATGTCCCGCCCGTGTCCCGCCCATATCCCGCCCATGTCCCGCCCATGTCCCGCCCATGTCCCGCCATGTCCCGCCCATGTCCCGCCATGTCCCGCCCATGTCCCGCCCGTGTCCCGCCATGTCCCGCCCGTGTCCCGCCCATGTCGGGTTATGGGATGCCCAAATCCGCACAATGCATGCAGAAATCCGCATTGATTATGCCAAAACCCGCATATTTATGCCCAAAACAGCATAATGCATGCAGAAATCCGCATTGATCATGCCCAAAACAGCATCGCAAACTTGCCAAATGCGCCTGTGACTGAGTGAGTGCGCAAAGGTCTTCAGTGTCCGAGTGGTGTGTCAGCAGATTCCAGACCAGTTTGTGGTAGTTTGTGCAGTGCTTTGTGCTTCCCCTTAACCCTAAACCCCTAAGCCCATAAATAAAAAAATCAAAGCATATAGTATTCAAAAAAATACTGGTCGCTATAAAACTGTAGGCAAATCCCATACAAAATACAACAAAAATCTAAAAAATAATAATATGATAGACCACGAAAAAAATAAAATCAATAGTCCCCGACTTTTTCCGATGCACTCTTAAAAGATTGAGCGTGTGCAGGATCTGAACACAACTCTGCACGGCAGAGTCAGGGAGTTTGGAATGCAGCTGGTGCAAGTGATGGAGGAAAAAATACTCTTCTGGCTGAGAAGCATGCGAGGATGATCACTGACTTGAGCTTGGCGCGTTCTGCCCACGAAGAGCTTGAAGAGCTTGGGGCACTTAACTTTGATGACGACGACGATCAATGCTGAGAAGCATCTCCTGAGGCTTGGCCTTGAAGTTTCTGCTGCCGTCCTTGGGCTGCTGGGGAGCTTTTTCGGCCAATGCAGTTTTTGGCCACGAGCCGCAGACTTTTCATTCAGGGCAGCAGGCTCAGGGTGCTACCGCGAAGGCTTCGCGATGCGCCCAGTGCCAGCCGCCTTGAAGAAAGAGGCTCATGGGTAGTATGTATACGGCTAGAAAGGCAGGGGAATGCAGGGGACTACAGAAACCAGGTGCTCCGAGCGTGAGTGTCGGGACAGTGGAAAAAGAGGACCTGAGCTTTTGTAGTTTCTGAACCGTAATAGGGATGTGTTATGGGCCTTGTTAGGGAGGGTTTTGGACTGACGAGGGCTTGTGCGTGCTACCAGAAAAGGACCGATTTTGTTTTAGGGGGACGTGTTTTTTTTTGGTTGGGAAAACACAGCTTTTGAGTGAACGGTTTAAACCCTATTAGAACGAATGCAATTTTTCTAAAACGGTTCATAACCTTTTTTTATTTCGACCCCGTTTGCAGCAAGGGTTAGCGCCCCCCGGGCCTAGATGAATCACTTATAGTAGGCGCGGTATTGGTCTGTTGTTGGAGCAGTCTTCGTCTCAGCGATGCTCAACACACCAAATGGACTTCGCTTCAGTCCGGCTCCTGGTGCGTGCGGGGAGTGAACTTCCGCACTAAGGTTAGTCGTAGAGGGGTCCCTTTCGGTCTGATAACACAGGGCATTTATGGCGCGAGTTCACACGCATTTGGGTGGCAAAGTACCTCTCTCTTTTGGGTGAGGAATGGGATGCAGTGGTCAGTCGATTTGGAGACGTGACGCCAGACTGTCTGTTCTTCAGAAGCACCGATTCTGAGTTTGCTCCCATGTCATACGGGGAAGTTCTGTCGGCGCTCCGCTGTACCTTGATTTCTTTCGGTTTGAGTGCTGAGGAAGCGCGTGACTTCACTGTGCACAGCATGAAAGCATGTTTACTTGCTGTGATGGCACAGAGAGGCTTCAGAACCTCGCGCCGTGAAGCGCAAGGACACCACCAACCGTCGGGCCGGAGTGCCCGACTTTATTCACGGGACGATATCTGGCCGGCACTAGAAGCTCAACGAGCCCTTGTGCAGTCGCTTCGCTCGGGGTGGATGCCGAGTACGCCTCTGGGGCGTGGGGGTCAACATCCTACCCCCCAACGACCTTTTGTTCATGTGAATGTCCCTAGTGAACCATCGTCTGTGCACCCCAGGTTCCCGCTTTTGGATGTGTCTCCACCTGAGGTCTCTCATGAGGCGGTGCAGGTCGATAGGGACGAGTCCCAGGCAGCAGGCATCAGTGATATGCAGGCTCCTACGTTGGAGGCCGCTTTATCCTCATCCAGTGAGTCGGAGCAGGATGCTGGCACTTCAGGTTCGGTTCGGCGTTCCAGTGTGGCCATCTCAGCCACTTTCCAGCCTGAGGAGTGCGATGAATTCTTGTTCTTGCAGGGGGCATCAGGTACAGTCCACGTGGCAGCACCTCAGGAAGTGCATCGGGAACGGCGGCTTATGCTGACGGGCACACTGCCCACCTTAGGCCACGGTGTGGAGCCTTGGCCAAGTCTTTTGCAGTTTTGTCAACCGTGCCGGTAGGGGCATGCCTTTGCATGCACGTCGCATGCAGGCGAGTTTTGGAGCTTTAGAGCTGTTTGGGCAGCACGCGGAAAATCAAATCGCCATTGCATACTTGGAACAGGGAAGCACTTGAGAAATGCAGCATGCAAGATTGGCACTGAACATGTTTCGTGGCAGCTTTAACGGGCCCTCAGCTCGGCGGCGGGATCAAGCTGGTCTTGACGAGCAGGCGGGGAAACTGCTTTCCATTCGTGTCAAGATTGGCCGGGAGTTGATCCGCACGTGTGTGCTCGCCGCGGCAATGCGGCATTTCGGTTCGATATGGGCTTGCCGATTTGCTGCTGGGTTTCAGTCGGCTGCAATATGTGGGTCTGAAACCCAGGCTGTGGAAGGGGCTGTGCATGGTTCGCGCAGCAGGTGTAGGCGCCAGTGCTGGCAGATCTGATCGCACGTGTGTGCCAGTCCGCCACCCAAGACGGTCGTGAAATGCGGAGGGCGGCCCCCCCCCTAGTTGTCTTACCTTCAAGGCAAGTGCATGGCGATTGCAGCCAGTGGGATATGATACTACCGGGCATAAAAGTCCTTCGGAAACCTGGCAGCCGTGTGGCCAATCGCACGTGTGTGCAGCGGGCAAGGGCTACTGCTGCCGATCGTTCATCGATTGCAATTTCAACCTGTCTGTCTGCACCTCGCTTCAGGCTTCCATGGCTAACGTGGATGCGGCGCTTTTGGAGCTTGCCGTTGCATGCAGAGTACCGCAGGAGTTCCACTTCGTGCTAGATGGTTATGACGTGCCGCTGTTTGGTTGCCTAGCAGCCTCACACTCGGAAGTCGATGCCTCAATCGAGATACTGCTGGAGGGGGCCTCCTTGCCTGCAAATTCCACTGAGAAACTACGTCTTATGTCATGCTTCCGCCTGCTGTTTCAGAAGTGTCAGTCTGTGACGGCAACCGGTTCGTCTGCGGGGAGTGCGGCCCATGCAAGCATGACATCCAATGCAGCCTCATGGGTAGACTCTTTCCCGGCTAAATTGACAGGTGAGGAGGTGGTGAAACTCCGCCTTGAGTTCGAGGCTTCGTACCCAGGAGAGGTCTTGGATGCGGACAACACCCCAGGTCACCGGCTCTTAGCTTTGGCCGCAAAGCTTGTTAAACCAGGTGAGATGCGGTGGGTGGCCTGGAAGCATCGGATGAGCAAATCCCAAGAGGAGTCTTTCGCTCTGCGCAGGCCGGCAAAAATCCCAAGGTTGGAAGAGCTGGTGTACGACGAGATACCTTCAAGAGAGCTACCTCAAGGCCAAGTCGGCATGACCTTCCTGCAGGGCATTTTGGGTCTTTTGTGCATATCACTCGCCTTCGTTAAGGGGGCTCACCTTCAGAGCCTGCGGCTTTACGAGCGCAAGTTCATCCGCCTGGCCTGCCAGCGGCATGAGGCATCTTCGGGGCTACGAAGCCCGAATATTGAGGAGCTTCAGGCGGCAGACAAGCACATTTGGGGCTTGATCGCGGATTTAGTCAATGTCCACAAGTGGAGCCTGAATGATGCACTGACGGAGGTAGTGCAAGTTCGCGGTGACTTGGCGGCCATGTTGCAGCCTCGCAGCCAAATCTTGAAGATCAACAGGCAGCCTTTCAAAGGCAACGGCAAGGGGAAAGACTCCCCGGGCGGTAAGAACGGCAAGGGCAACAAGGGCAATGGCACCAACAGTCAACGCTGCTTTCTTACACGGACTCCAATGGTCAGCGCAAACAGTTGTGCCGTGGTTACAGTTCTCCAGACGGATGCAAGTTTGAAAACTGTAAATTCGAGCATCTCTGCCCGGTTCCCGGCCCAGATGGAAAGCCGTGCCTAGGGAAGCATCCTGCTTTCCAACACCGCAAAATCTGAAGGTCACAGTCGGTGGCGGAACACTCCGATGTGCGGACTGGTCGATCCAGCGAAATTCCGTCGCCGACTTCAGCGGATTTTTCTTGGGAAGCTTGCTTGGCTATCCTGCAGACTCACTGTTTGGGTGATGCTCCTCTCTACCGAGATACAGTTCTTGCAGGTGCGCGATCTCGAGCACAATATTTCAATTTTGGGGCGAGAGCGGGCTCCAATGTGGGGCTTTGCAAAGGCACAGCAGAAAACGCAGAATTCGTTGAGTACCTGAACATTTTCCTTCGGCAGATTTTTCCAGACGGCACATGGTCCAGTTTTTGTGTCAGTCACAATGAGTTCGCTCATATCCACGTGGATAAGAACCTTCCGGGATCTTTGAATTATTCATTCAGTGTTGGTGCTTTTGAGAAAGGCGGCTTGTGGGTGGCTTTGCCACCAGACGAACTTCCTCACCTTCCGCGAGTGCCTCCGCCGGACACATCAGCTGATGCCTCGCTGTTGGGTTGCATAGTTCAGACCAGGAGGTGTGGTTTTTCTTGGGATGGCAGCGTTGCTCATTGTTCGGAGCCATGGGTTGGCGACAGATGGGTCGTGACGGCCTATACTTCTTGCACTTGGGGTTCAATGCCTGAACCAGATCTTCGCTCTTTACGTGATCTTATGTTTCCGCTTCCAGGCGACGCCATGGTGGTCGACGAGGTGTCGTGTGCGTCTCGGGCTGCCAAAGTTGACCAGGCACAGCTGGGGCTACCGGCGGCAGTCATGCCTCCGGACCTTGATGCAATTCGCGGAAATCTTTTTCTGGAGATCTGTTCTGGGCCAAATCGGCCTCTGTCTGCTGCCTTCCTGGCGAAGGGTGTTTCAGTGCTGTCGATCGACATTCTTTTGCATGAAGATCATAACTTGTTGAATGACTCCACTTATGACAGCCTCATGCGGCTATGCTACAGCGGACAAGTGAATCTGGCGCACGCTTCTCCACCTTGCACGGAGTACTCCAGGCTGAAGCTCCGGGCAGACGGTGGCCCCAGGGCGATTCGCACTCCAGAACACATGTCTGGAGTTCCTGATTTGAGTCCATCAGAGCGGCAACGTCTGGAGCAAAGTAAAAAAGTGCTGGTTCGTACAATCAATTTGCTGCTGGCAACATACTGCGCTGGAGGGCATGTTAGTCTGGAAAACCCTTTGAACAGCATGGCATGGTTGGAGCAGGAAGTCCGAGAATTTCTGCAACACATCAACGCGGACCTCAACTGTGTGGCTGCTTGTGGCTATGGTATGAATGTACTGAAGCAGTGGTGTTTCGCATGCAGTTTTCGGGATCTCCAGCAGATTGCATGTAGTTACATGTAGTTGTCAACACGATCCTCAGTCGCATGCACAGGTGGCAGGGATTGTTGACGAAGACGGCGTTTACGCTTCAAGGGCCACTTCGGAGTTTCCGGCACAGCTCGCACAGGCCTATGCAGAAGCTGTTCTTCCTTTGTTCGAGACTTCGAGCAAGCCGTACACCATTTCTCTTGAACAGGTTAGGTTTCTTCGAACTCACAAAACCAAGGAGGAACTTCCCCGAAGCACACAGGACGGAGGTGTGATCTACTCAATGCCGGATTGGAGTTTTCCTCCGAGCGGCTGCAAGGACCTCCTAGGGGGAGTGCGTAAGCAGCTTGTGGAGTACCTTTTCCACATCAGGGCCCCATTGCGATTGCGCGCCCATGTGGAGTCCGAAAGCGAACTCCCGCTGTTCACAGAGCCTGAGGTTCGGCAGTTCAGGGAGATCTGGCAGCAATGGTTCATGCAACAGGGTGTGCAATCAATCGATTGGAGCGTGGCTGAACATCAACCTTACTCGATGCTGGCCTTACAAAGCCTCTCTCGAGCCTTGCAAGACAGCGTCTCTGTCCAAAGGGGAAGAGCTTGTCGGCAACAAGCATGATCGTGGTCATGGCCTGCATCTGCGCACAGCAAGACACGCATGAGTTAAGATGTCATCATGAGCTGGGTGTGGGTTTGATGTATACATGTATGTCTATAATGACTTGTAGGAGAAACCCAACGCCTAGATCCGTTCATTTCTGAATGCCAGGAGAGTGAGAGTGGACGTGTTTGATAGGCGTAGGACTGGCGTTAGTTGTGCTGCCAAACAATGCTTCACTTGTGTCAGTGCAGATCAGCACCAAAAGTCCCTACCTCCCAGAAAGCATGCCACTACAGCTTGGCGGCTGGCACCCTAGGGCACTATATGTTTAAGTCGCCGGAGCTGGAGTAAAGTCCCACAGCCCTGTGGCACATGGCATGGGAAGGAAGCCAATCGAGGCGGGGAGATGTTAGCCGAACAACAGCGAATCTGGAGGCAATCCGCAAGGTTTTTCATGTATTTGCGGAGTGCCCAATATGCCATGCGCCCTGCGAGCCGTGGGTTCAGAAGCCTCACCACAGGCCAGCGGCCAGAACACAGACCATGGTGCGCGAAAGCCCGAGGGCGGATGTCATCAAGGTTGGGCCATGGATGATCTCTTCTCGGACCGGCTTGGACGATGGACGCCCTCGTGCTAGAGGGTGGGAGGGGGGGAAACAACTTAAGGTAGCACTAACCTAAACCCAAAGCCCAGCTTCCCCGGATGTGGGGACCTAAACAATAACGTAAAACTAAAAGCTGGGCCCTAAACCCTACGTGCCCGCCGCCTCCTGTTGTGGAGTGCCAGGCACCCTAAACCCTAAGCCGGGTTTCCCCTAAAATGTGGGGACCTCGGCGAAACCCTATGCCTGGCTTCCCCCTTCGGGGGGCCTAGGCAGGTATGTCAGGTATGTCCTAAATCGTAAACCAAACCCTGAAACGAAACCACCCCCACACGCAAACCGCAACCCTAGAAACCGGGGGTGGAGGGGGGAGGGGTGGGGGGAAGTTTGAGCCAGACTGTACACGAAGTTTGAGCCAGTCTATACACGTCTGTGAAACACACGCCTGTACAAAAACATGCCAGACAAGGCGGGAAAGCATTTTGACCGGGGTGACGTGAAAGTCGGGCTATCGCAGAACACACCGGCGAAGCAGGTTGGTAATGATCTCTGGCTGCAAAGTCTAATGAGTGTACGGTATCCCTGCGCGTCCCGCAGTTGTACAGCATGGGCCTCGAGACCAATTTTTTCAGGGAAAGAGTATATCCCTTCGAGAAGACAAGAACCTCTGGGTGTGATCTGGGGGTCCTTTGAGGAAAAGTGCATGACGTATGTTCGGGATTATTGATATTTTGTGTCGTGGTGTATTATATTTCCTAATTTTGAGATTTTTGCGATGTTGTGTATGGGATTTACTTATCTTATCTACTTTTAAGGTACCTCCCTCTCCAGAAGACATCGCTGAACCTAATGCCAATTTAAAGAAGACCACAATCGACTAGCGGGGCAGACTTACGCGCAAACAACGCCCTAGGGAAGTTTGCCCGTTAAATGGCCTTCACCACGTCGTCGTACGCAAGATCATTGAAGTAATCCGGGTCTTCGGTGAGCATCTGGCGGAGTTCATCTGCAGACTTGTTCGGCAGGATCTTGTGTGTCACGGCTTTGAAGTGAGCGACAAGGAAACGCGACAAACCAGCAACTGAATCTGGTAAGGTCGACTGTTTGACTAGCTCCGGCAGGTGCAGCAGGATGCTCCCAACCAAGTGAGGGTTCTTGACGTAGAACTTTGTTCCCGATGCGGGGTTGTTCTTGTAGAGATCGTGGTCCATGATCTGGTTGAGGTCCTCAAAGCCTCCTCCAGGCTTGTTGTCAGCAGCATCGCTGAGCCAGCTCCTACCTTCATGCAAACCCAAGTATCCGCGACCGTCCTGCTTCTCCAAGGTGGCTCCCATGCCTAGAAAGGTGCCTTGACAACATGTCTAAACAACAGAACGACCGACTGCTACGACATGTGAACAAACCCATGACGGCAGGCTTAGACGTGGCAACACTTTAGAAAATGTTGATTGCATAAGAAGTAGCCTTTGTTGTGGACGGAGTCAGCATGTTCGGGTTTAGCAGGAGCATCCTTCTCCTCCTGTTCTCCAGCGCGCACTGCGAGACGATGTTGCTCTTTACTTGTGTTCCACTCCTTGAGCTTCAGCTTCGTCCGAGTGTCGTCGAAATAGTAGAGAATTTGGAAAACAAGCCAAAGGGCAATGCTCTTGCCTTCACCTGGTGCTCCGTGTTGCAACATCAGCAAGTTGGGGAATTTCCCAAGGATGCCACCGTATCGAGTCTGCAAGGCATTCAATGTCAGTGAAATCAAAATGAGCATATGCGTGAAAACACACGCAGAGCTGAGAGAGGTGGCGCGTCCTAATGCAGCACAAAGCTCCCACGCATGTGGTGCAGAGCGAGAGATTGTCTCGTCGGGGTAAGGACACATGGCCTCCATCAGCCGATAAGCGCACTGCGCATCTGCATGAGACATGATGAGCGCATCCGCTGTCTTCTTGGTGTGACCCTTATTCGTGGGCCCGGCGAAAGCAGGTAGAATGCATAGGAAGTACCATAAGCAGAACATGGCTTCAAAGTGTCTGCAGACTTCGCAAAAAATCAAGATGTAGACAGCCTATACTCTCATCAGGACGTCAGAAGAATGAAAAACATCCAATGCTATATACGCTTAAGCTAGAAAGATCTGCATGTGTCTGGCTTCAGACAAAACCGAAGTAACGCTGGCTCCAGGCCCCAGCTTGGAGCAGACGTAACTGCGGAGAGTATGGGTTGTGTATGCTAGATCTGACTGATCTGCGTGTAATAGCGTGGGTTAGAACTGTATGAGGATGTGGTCAGTGTAGTACTTAAGCTAGCGGAAGATAGAACATGCGAAAGCTGGGCTGGTTGCCGATTGTGGATATTCTCGTTGTTGCTGTTGTAGCTGCTGTCATTGTTATTGGTAGTGTGACTGTTAGTGTTATTGTTATTGTAGTTGTACTTGTAGTTGTTACTGTTACTGTTACTGTTATTGTTATTGTTATTGTTGTTGAGGTGGTTATTGTTGTTACTGGTGGTGGTGGTGGTGGTGGTGGTGGTGGTGGTGGTGGTGGTGGTGGTGGTGGTGGTGGTGGTGGTGGTGGTGGTGGTGGTGGTGGTGTTGGTGTGGTTGTGGTTGTAATGGTTGCGGTAATGGTTGTGGTTATGGTTATTGTTGTTGTTTTTGTTGTTGCTGTTGCTGTTGTTGTTGTTGTTGTTGTGGTGATTATTGTTGTTGTTATTGTTGTTGTTGTTGTTGTTGTCTTCCTCGCGCCCTCGCCTCGCGGCCTCGCGCCTCGCGGCCTCGCGACCTGACGCCCTCACCTCGCGGCGACGCGCCGTGGCGCCCTCACCGGCCTCGCGCTGTCACCTCGCGGCCTCCCGACCTCACGCCCTCACCTCGCGGCCTCGCACTCGCATGCTCACGTCGCGTCCTCACCTCGCGCCTTCACCTCGCGGCCTCGCGACCTCACGCCCTCACCTCGCGGCCTGGCGGTCTCGCCCTCACCTCGCTCCCTCGCGCCCTCGCGCCCTCACCTCGCGCCCTCGCGCCCTCACCTCGCGGCCTCGCGACCTCACGCCCTCACCTCGCGGCCTCGCGCCCTCACCTCGCGCAGTCGCGCCCTGGCCTCGCGGCCTCGGGACCTCACGCCCGCACCTCGCGTTACCTCGCGGCCTCGCGACCTCGCGCCTTCACCTCGCGCCCTCGCGCCCTCACCTCGCGCTCTCGCGCCTTCACCTCGCGGCCTCGCGGCCTCGCGCCCTTACCTCGCGGCCTCGCGACCTCGCGCCCTCACCTCTTGCCCTCGCGCCCTCACCTCGCGCGCTCGCGCCTTCACCTCGCGGCCTCGCGGCCTCGCGCCCTGGCGCCCTCACCTCGCGGCCTCGCGCGACTGTGTCATTGTCAAGGCTGTTCTGGATATTTTGCAGCCTGCAAAATAGCTTTGGTTGATCTCTGCCAGTTCGCTCAAAGCCTGTAGGCCGCAACAGCTCTCTCATCGGTCTTTCTGACCTGGGCTGATCAGCTATAGGGTCTGAGTCAGTTTCACACCAAAGTGAGTGCACCGCGGCAATCGCCCGCTATGTGCAGAGCCCGCTCGCACAGCGTTCAATTGAAAATAGTAGTAGTTTCAAAACCATTGTCCTGTCGTGTCTTGTCATGCCTTGCCCTTTCCTGTCCTGCCGTCATGCCCTGCCCTCTCCTGTCCTGCCCAGTGGAGTGGCAAACCACTATAAAAACCATTGTCTTGTCGTGTCTTGTCATGCCCTGCCCTCTCCTGTCCTGCTCAGTGGAGTGGAAAACCACTATAAAAACCATTGTCCTGTCGTGTCTTGTCATGCCCTGCCCTCTCCTGTCTTGCCCATGCCCAGTAGAGTGGCAAACCACTATATAGTAGTAGTAGTAGTAGTAGTAGTAGTAGTAGTAGTAGTAGTAGTAGTAGTAGTAGTAGTAGTAGTAGTAGTAGTAGTAGTAGTAGTAGTAGTAGTGGTAGCCGCCACAAGTGCTCAAGCGGCCGCGCTGAATGAGAGGTTTCGAACAGGCTTGGGGCGCAACTGCTGTGCTAGAGGTTCCAACCGGGCCCTTTTCTGAACAGTAAAGGTTTGTGCCTCCTTCTACGCCATGGTCCTCTCCCTTTTCTCACAGGAGCTGCTTTGAGCCGCCAGGTCCCAATTCCTGGGCCCAGACTCTGTTTAAAACATTGCAACACTGGGTAGGCGGTAGGGTTTCCACCTCCGCGCGGTGGAGGGAGTCATTAGGCTTCTGTCTCTTGACGAAAGTAGCGGATGGCGCAATTGCCAGTGCACTCACAAAACTTTGCATCTCTTCGTAAGAATTCGTTCAAGACAGCATGTAGAAGGACAGTCCGTAGTGACGGGCCCGTACCATACCGAGGGAAGGTTCTGACACCTACCCTGGTTGATCGTCTGGGGGTGCGCCCCCCACCCACTCGAAGAGAGCTTCAGTCACAGACTGCTGACTCCCCTGCATATGGCACAGCCTCCCGCAGGGCAGGAAGGTTGGAAAGATCCATTCGAGTTATTTCGTGGAACGCGGGCCACCTAGGCCAACAGCAATGGGGCGAACTCAAAACGTGGCTAGCAGCTGAAGCCTCTCATCACTGCGACGTCCTCATATTGCAGGAAACGCACTGGACTGAGACCAGTGAATTCAGCGTTTCTGGGTGGTACTGTATCTCCTCAGCCTCGGAGTCTACCAAACCCAACACCCGGCCTAAACAAGCAGCGAAGCGAAACACTCGGCAAGAACCGCGAGCTCCATCCACGACTCGCGCTGATGGAGTCATGATCCTATTCTCTCCCAAGTTCGTCCCCAAGAGCTTACGCTGGAAGGAGTGGAGCCCGGGTAGGGTCTTAGAAGCTCGTGCAGACATTGCAGGTACTCGGCTGGTTGTCGTCGCGGTGTACCAACACGCTTGGTCTTCTGCCAAGACCATCCAGTCCAATAAGGACGACCGTGCTAAGGTACTATCTGTCATGTCCAAGGTGATCAAGCAGGTGCCTAAGAGGGACTCCCTTATTGTAGCAGGCGATTTTAACACTTCCCTGCGTCCGAGCTCTCCATTGGTGGGAACGCACGTGAAGCCACCCACTGAGGACCGCCCTGACGAATCCAACTTGTTTAATCTGCTGCTCAGGCTGCGTTTGGTTGCCCTTAACACCTGGCAATGTGACCATATAGCTACCTTCTCACAAGGAGGAGTGGAGTCGCAAATTGACTTCATTCTAACCAAAGAATCTACGGCGGGAGGCAAAGCCAAACGGTCAGCCCCTTGGGTGGACTGTCCGTTGGGCAGCTGGAAGAAAGGAGGGCATTACCCACTCAAAGCTGACGTACCCCTCCAACATCACTGGCTGCTCCCATCCCACAAGCCCAGCACGCGCCGGTACGATTCACTAGCTCTACAGGCCTCAGTCAGAGAGGAGGACGATACGGCAAAGGCCCTGCACAGCTGGATCGCTTCCAGAATTGTCACCTGCCAGGACCCCAAGGCATGGAATGCGTTGCTTTTGGAAGGTGCAGAACGCTTCTTCCCAAAAATTCCCAAACGAAGACCGATCCCGCTGGAATTGGAAACCCGTCGCATGTGGCGGGCCCGCACCCACGACAGGGTTGCGAACACCACTCCCTCAGCACAGCTGATCGAGTCACCTAAAGCAATGGCACAGCCTCCTAATCAGAACACGCCACGTCCGCCGGACACCGAAGCTGAGCTGGCGCAAGTGGCACACCGCCAGGCTGTGAAACAAGCAAAGAAAGATCGAATTGCGTGTTTCATATCGGAGGTGGACGCGAGTCTGGCTGAAGGTGACCAACATATCTCCTTTCAGACCCTCAAAAAGCTGCAGCCTTGGCAGCCTGCGCGCAGAGCTCAGCTAAAGGACAACACAGGACATTTGCTAGGTCCAGCGCAGGAGCTAGCAGCCCTCAGGGACTATGCCAATCAGGTATTTGCGGCCCACCCTCCGTTACGGACAATGCATGGAGCTTTCCCTGCTTTGGAGCCGCCCAAACTAGCAGCTCACATACATTCCATCAAGCCTAATAAAGCTGTTCCTGACGGAGCGGCACCTGCGGCTGTATGGAGACTGTGTAGCGACATCGTTGCACCGGTCCTCTCCAAACACGTAGCATCCAAGCAGGCCGAGGACAGTCTAGAATCCGACCTCGTAGACGCTGATCTCTGCTTAATTCCCAAGCCGGGCAAGCCCTCTGACAAACCAGCAAACTTGAGACCCTTGGGTATCCTTAGACCTGACGCTAAGGGACTGGCGGGAGCGGCCAGAGAAGCGCTTCAACCACTGACACTCTCGTTCCTCAAGCACATGCCACAGTTCGCTTATCTACCAGGTCGGGGGCTGTCAGATGCGCTAGAACGCGTGGTGCATCACTTGCGTGAGGCTCGATCCCTGTTAGAACAGGCCCACCCCACGAGACATGCCTTGCAACAAGGCACACAGGCCCCAGCCTTAGTCGGCGGCCTCACCTTTGCTCTTGACCTCAGCCAAGCGTTTGACACAGTCTCTCGCCAAGAGATCATCGACGTTCTTCAGAGAGAAGGGGCAGATCAGGACACAGTCCACCTCGTTCAGGCTCTACATGACGGGTCTCGTTATGTCCTTCATGCGCAGGGAGATTCCACCTCTGTTGAAACCACAGCAGGCATTAAACAAGGATGTAAGCTCGCCCCCACACTCTTCTCGTTCCTTACAGGTGACCTTTTCCGCTCTCTGGTTGACCTTTTCGGTGCTGAGCAGGTCTTGAAATTCCTGACAGGATATGCCGATGATTTCACACTCCATCGGACTATCCGCTCTGACAAGGACCTCAGGGCCATTCATGCGCTCATCGCAGCGCTACTTGAGGAGGTCCGCAAACACCGCCTACGAGTCAACATTAGCAAGTGCGTCATCTTGGTGAAGTTAGCGGGTAGAGAATCCCAAAACGTGATGAACAAACACGGCTGCTGGATCATAAACTCCAAGGGCGAGCAGGTTCGCGGATGGCGCATCGGGCCCAATAAATCG